GCCAAAAACAGGCAAACTGCAGGTTTTGGCACTTGTTGGTGATGCGACGGTGGTTTCTCGCAGATACTTGAAATTCTTCAAATCCCTAGGATTCATACTTATAAATCACAACAACAAAATTGGAGTAGATTGGTCAAGTAATTTTTTTGAGAAGTTCTAGTTGTTTATTCCAAAACACCTGTTTTTCGGCTAGCACTACTAGTTTATTGAGCATATACAGGGTTATTTCAAAGGGCAAAGGATGGGTTACGTTTTTTCTTCTAAACAAATTCAAAAAGTTCGTATTTGTGAGTGATTCGCAACAAAAGATGATAGACAATATCCGCTTTATTGTAAAATTTGTATAGTCACTTATTTTTTCGAATATCGTAGCGCATATTTTCAATTACTCACAAATACGAAATATTCGAATTTGTTTAGAAGAAAAAACGTAACCTTTGTTTTTTGCATAAAAATAACATTTATCTTTCGGAATGGTTTGTGATTCATATCAGCAAGGTAAGCACTTTAATGATGGCCGGAAAACAGGTGTTTTGGGATAAACAATTAAAAATTCTCAAAAAACTGCTTGCCAATTTTGTTGTTTTATTTAGAGGCATGAATCCCACGGATTTGAAGAATTCCAAGTAGTTGCGTGAAATTATCGTTGCATTGCCAACAAGTACGCCAAAGCCTGCATTTTGCTTAGCTTTTCTTGGCCATAACATTTTTGCTATTAGTCGGATCTTTTTACGTGTGGTCTCATAAAAACCTGAAAATGTTATCTGAAAAGTTGTTTCGTTCATGTCAAAACTTTCGCTTGAATCGCAAAAAACACAAAACACACTAACAAAAATTGGTGTACCCATTTTATAGGTCCATGTTTTAAATACCCCCTTGAACAACTTGCATCAATAAAACCAGACTTTATAATTATTTCGCAAACCAGGAGTATTTTCGTCTAATATGATTAAACTAATTCACCAAGAGTGCCGGATGAGAACCCATTTGGAGTTTTGTATTGAGAGTTGTGTAGTTAAATCTGATCGGCCACCATGGAAGTTTGAGACGGAGATTACCCTACTCAAACCAAGGCTAATGGTGGTCAATCTCAATGCCAGCTCTACTGAATTTAATAAAAAATTACGATCATAAATTCAATCCTGCCATTACTTTTTATTCGCGTCATAAAGGCAGTTTCTAGAAATTTGACGAGTATGCAAGATGTTGAACAACAATGGAATTAAGTAAACAAATTTTTAAAGTAATTGGCCCATTCTTTGCTACTTCAGGCTGCCAAAGTTAGACGTATAAATTGATTTTCATTGAAGTATTGCATTAGAATAATTCTCCTGTGGATGTGGTGTACCCATTTTATGCGTCCATATTTTAAATACCCCCTTGAACAACGTGCACCAATAAAACCGGACTTTACAATTATATCGGGGAAATTTGCTAATATGATCAGACTAACTGAGTTATCATGTTTTTTGAAACACGTAGATCACGAAATATGTTACAGCCAAACAGTCGCTACCCTTAACACAAGACTGTAAGGTTGTTGCTAGACCTATCAAAAGATAAATAATATAGGTTGGAATAGCCAGTCTAATTTTTACCCCACAAGTTATTCTCGTTACGATAAAGAAACAATCGCACATTGTATTCCATAACTCTCAATCGATCCATATGCGCAGGGTGTCCCAATATTGCGCGGACCATGTATATTTAGACTCAAAACGAGTCGACTGGACATGTTTTAAGGAAGTGTTTCGTTTGTCCGTTAGATGGATACAAAGTTGTCTGTTTAAAACACAATTGCAGGGTTCGGCAATGAAACGGGAAGATTTGGGATAGGTTTGCCGGGACCCAGGGCCGTATGCTCCGCTGTTCGATTTTCGTCTGCCGGTGCGCATGACGTCACGCGGAGAGTGATTATCATTTGGTTTGATATGGATAACGTGCATATTTTCACCTACAGGCCAAACGGCAGGACGGATTTTCACATATGAGGTGTCGTTGGATTCCTCTTAGCGGTGTGAGTGACGCTAGTTACAGTGAAATTTTATAAAAAATAAAATGGTGGATTTTAATAAAAAGTTTTAACCTTGTAATCCATATTTCATAGGCTACAGCTCAAACGGCTTGATAGATTTTCACATATGAAGTGTCGTTGGATTCGTCACACAATCTACACTAAAATTTTATACAAAACAAAATAGCGGATTTAAATAAAAGATTCAACCCTGTTATTCCTATCTCACAGGCTATAGCTTAAACGGCTTTCTAGCTCCACAATAGAGCGTGTATCGTCACTTTATTGTAAAAACAAGATTTTTCTACATTACCTATATTTTGGTATGTTCTGTGGAGCAGGATTAACATGCGCATAACGTTAATACTGCACTACATTTATTCATCCTTATTTCACAGAATATCCTAAGTAATAACTACATGTAAGTGTGAAAATGTACGCAAGTCGAAAAGTAGAAAAATTTAGTCATCACCTTTTTGCAGTAAGCTGACAGTATGACAATAAATGGCAATGACTTAGAAGTCACAATTTTTCTCCATTTCTTTTCACGATTTTTCTGTTGCTGCTGTTCAACAGAAGTTCGCCTACAAAATTTTGCTTTTCTGTCGCTATTGAATATAGTAAACACCTTATTAAGCTTCTCAATTTGATTCATGAAAGCCGTGGAAGGTTTTGATAATCCACTCTCACTAAGATGGTTTATGCAGGAGTAAGTTTCAGTTGAGGAACTTTTCAACCTCTCATCCTGCAATTTATGGCGAGCAAAGCCGGCCAAATATTTCAGAACATCATACTCGAGCTCATCCATTTCTTCCACTGAAACTTCCTCGTTATAGTCAGCTGATACTTCAGGTGCATTCAGTTTATTCGTTAATGATGCGGTTAGTCCCAAGTATCCTCTTCCTCTACGCTGCTATACTCTGAGTATGCGCCTTCGCTTCGCCCCAAAATATATGACTCTATTCTATACTTAAACTCTAGGGGATAAGTTGAGCCCTTTGCCTTTTTTCGTAAGCACTTTTCCGCTTTTCCTCTTCAACAGATGTAGGTGGTCCAGGTGATGATCGACACTTGGGTAAATTTTCCATAGGAATGGCATCATCTTTTAGAGCACGATATGTTTCAAATTGACCTTATAGGCACTTTCACAAAAATGCTTCGAGCAAACCCTAGCGCTTTTTACATCGACTTTGTCTTTCCTTTTTGTAAGATGTAGCCATTTTTTGCTAAGGTTTGGGTCTTGAGGAAATCTCTAGAACTCCATGTCTTTGCAAGGATTCCGTTGCATTTTTAAAAATTTATCAACCACCCAGGCTATATAAAGTATGTATAACAGGTCACAAAACCACCAAAAAACACCGACAAATCGCACTATATAGTATTAACCACGATACACGTGAACTGCAGTAACCTTACGACACTCGTACTGCTGATAACCACGAGCCGACAACTCTCCGGGTGACGTCACGAAGCTCCGCCCACATGCGCAATATCATGTCTTCAGTGTAGGGTAGAGTGGGGTTAACTGAACAGGTAGGTTAACTGAACAGATCGATGTTCCTGCCATCGAGTAATGATAAATTAAACTTGATTTTGCCCGAAAGCGTCTTTTGTTACGTGTTTTGACACTGTTCGGTGCAGATTTCTTTTAAGTCGGTTCTATGATGGAAAGCTTGCCAGCTTCTTATGGTTTAGTGCCCTGAATTTTCCATGCATGGCCATTTGTGCTGTTTAACAATTTATGACAATTTTATTGTATATTTCTATCAATTAAATAACAAAAATGGCGGCGCATGAAGATTCCAGGGCACTAAATCATAAGAAGCTGACAAAATTTCCATGTAGAAAGTGTTAAGTAAAAGTAAATTTAAAAAATATATCTTGTTTGTACCTCTGTTCAGTCAACCTGCATGAGTGGTCCAGTTAACCTGACAGGCAGGTTAACTCGACAATTTGATAGGTTTTAAAAAAAGTCAATCTGTCATACACATAAATTTAAATTTAACTTTAAACATTACGTTTTCCAATTACTTACATAACTTCCAAAGCATGGTCATAAAGGTATTTTTTTAGCAACGATTTTCTGGTCAAAAACGAAGTTTAAATTTTTGATTGGTCCAGTTAACCCCACTCTACCCTATGTGTATCGTGGCCGGGACCCGAGTGGCTTGCCATTTAGTCTACAATGGAACGTTGGACGGGTGACCACCGCGGTTAGGCAATTAATGCTTATTATCAAAATGACGAGAGTTTAACCATCCGATTATACATAACCACCCGCCATATTGGGCAAAAATATCGTTGGTTTGGAAGAAGAATGGCACAACTAAAAAATTGACATTTTTTAGTTTGACCCGCTAACCAACTCAAAAAGGTAAACTTTATTATGGGAAAAATAGTCACAAGTTGCACTCGTGTAGTTAACGCTAGATGGCGACTTATGACAGTTTGACTTTGTGTAACTCGTGCATTTATTTGTATGGAATAGCGGCACATTATTAGTTACGTCTCAGTTGTTGTGGAAGTCACATCGCGTGTTTTCGAGTATAGTGTCACAAGTGAAAAAGGAACGTATTTTTTGGTATTTTGTATTTAATATTTTATGCAAGACAGTCACATTTCGATTTAGGTAAGTATTACTCATAGGATATGTGCTTTTAAAATGAATTATTATGTGCAACACAGTCACATTTCGACTTGTGTCAGTATTCCTCATAGGATATGCGTGTTTATAAAGGAATATTATGTGCAATATCGTCATTTTTGACTTAGAACGGTATTCTTCAAAATAATCATGACAATGTCAAAAGTTATTTTATTAGTTTGAGTGCTATTTTGATATGTGACATTTTTCTACATAAAATCTACTAATGATTCATTGTTTTTTTTTTACTTGGAACAATATTCGTAAAAATAATTTAAAATTCTCGAAGTTATTTGTGCAATTTTCTGAAATGTACGTATTTGTTACTTCACAGTCTATACAATGAGTTCCCAGCGAGCGAAACTTATATTAAAGTTAGCAAAAACCAAAGCAAGAGTAGAGAAGAAAGAGAATGGTGCGCAGGATAGTTGGAAAATTTCGCAGCATAATAATATTGGCAGTACCAGCAGTACTGCAGAGGAAGCTGTTAATAGCGTCACGGTCAATAAAGGTTTGTTTTTCTATTGTTAATAAAAATAAACACAAATAAATGTTCATATAATTTTAGAGTCCCAAAACATGATTGAAAGTAATAATATCCGCAATAGTTTAAAAGAAGCCAAAAATGCAACCGAAGATAAGAATAATATAGAGTCTGTAAATCAGATCGATCTGCCAAGCCAAAACGTTATCTCCCAAACGACAATCATTCCTGGTATCATCTTTGATGAGAGTTCAGAAGATATTGGAGGTGTTACATTAATAAATAGAACTCGATATCAGGGCTTACTTAGAGCGCATGAATATGAAGAATTCCCTAGCAGTAATGGTCCTAGCAGTGAGCTAATAGAAGAAGGTGATTTAGGTAGTCATAGCTAGTTAAAAAAATGTTCCTCTAACACAAAATTTATTGTTACAGAAGCCACTTCTGCTAAAGTATTTTCTGTTGAACCTGCAATTCAAACAGATAACAATTCAAGTAGTAGGTCCCCAAGTGATTCGGACCCGACCAGTTCTGAAGAAGAACCTTTTGGTTCTGGCTTCAGAAGAAGATCCTGATTTTGAACCAGAAAACATATTGTCTTCCAGTGAATCCGAAGTAGATGGTATACCTCAAAATGTAGCTTTACAAATACGTCGTTCAGTGCACTATCCTTCTGAAACAGAGAAGCAAACTAAAAAACGAAAAAGAGTCCCAGATGAATGGCAAAAGAATAAAGCGAAACGTCTTAGAAACACAGATAAAAGTTATGAATCCATTAGAAAAATCAAGAAAAGTGATGGAAGTATCGAACGGATGAAAGTAAAGGGAGAAGAAAGAAAGATGTCCGCGCCCTGTGGGGAAAAATGCCGCTTAAAGTGTTCCACCAAAATCTCACAAGATCAGAGGCAAAAAATTTTTGAAGAATATTGGCAATTAGGAGATGTCCTGCAACAACGTGGATTTATAGCAGGCCGAATGCTTACTATTAAGCCAAAATATAGATATCAGAAAGGCGAAAATAGTAGACGTCTAAATTCTAGTTTCTTCTTCGACCTTGATGGACAAAATATTCGAATCTGCAAACAATTTTTTATGTCCACGTTAGGTATTAGCAGTAGAGTTATTCGAACGGTTACAGAATTTCCAATGGCATAAAAGAAGATATTAGAGCCCACATCAATTCTATTCCAAGAATTCCCAGTCATTATTGTAGGTCGCAAACTAAAAAGGAGTATATTGAAGGTGGTAAGACTGTGAGAGATTTATACAGGGATTACAAAAATATCTGTCAAGAAGATAATAAGCCTTACGCAAACTACTTAATGTATTATACTATTTTCAATCAACAGTTCAACATAGCATTTTTTATTCCTAAGAATGTGAATGTGAATTACGTTGCGTACACAAATGCCAACCAGGAGGAAAAAACCCACATGAAAAATAAATACGACACTCATCTGAAAGAGAAAGAATTATCTCTATCAGAAAAGCAAGCCGATAAAGTTTCAGATAAAGTAGTCGCTGTGTACGACCTCCAAGCGATATTACCATGTCCAATCGGTAACGCCTCAAGTTTCTATTATGTGTCAAAACTTAATGTCTTCAATCTAACAATGTTTGAATTGCAAACAAATCAAGCATATTGTTATCTCTGGCACGAGGCAGAAGCCAAAAGGGGTGCTGATGAAATAGGTTCATGCGTGTGGAATTATTTACGAAATTTGCAAGAAGACGTTTCAAACTCGGACGACAAATCGAAAGTTTTAGATATAATTTTTTACAGTGACAATTGTGCGGGACAAAATAAGAACCGATTTATCATGTCTTTATACACTTATGCAGTTTCAAATTTAAAGTCTGTACAATCTATAACTCACAAATTTTTTATCGCTGGGCACACGCAAAATGAGGGCGATAATGTACATGCCATTACTGAAAAAGCAGTTGCCAAAATTCGCAAATCTGGGTCCATCTATGTGCCTGAGCAGTACGCAACAATAATCGGACAGGCAAAAAAAACTGGGAAACCATTTTCTGTTAATGAAATGTGTCACAAAGATATCCTTGACCTGAAGGATCTTTCTTCTCAGCTCGGCATGAAACCTAATTTCAAAAATGAAGAGGGTGAAACCGTTAAAATCACCGACTTAAAAATGTTTATGGTAAAGAAAGAGTGCCCGGGAGTGCTATTCTACAAAACCTCTTACAATGAAAAGGAGTATTCACAAGTCAACATTTTACATTTGAGGCGCCAAAAACCAGATTTCTCTTCGGTGAAGTTAAAAAATGCTTACAAGGCAAAAGTCGGTATTACAGAAACTAAAAAAAATCATTATCATTGTTTAATAAAAAACCTGACAAACGAGTGGTCCCAATGTACTATTTCGATTTTTATGATAGATTATAGACTTTCTACCTACATATTTTCTGTGCTGTTCTTTAAATATTTTTATTTGTTTATTTCTGTAAATTTAAATAAATAAAACTGTATTTTCGACCATAAATTACTCCATTGTTTTATTTTGTGTCAAACGTTTCAATCAAAAATGTTAAAGAAATTTTGGGAAAAACTGTCACAAAGGCTAATTTCAGGTAGAAAGGTGAGGACAGGTAATGTCTTTCTATTATATTTAAGTGATTATAACGGGACCCTTAAGGTTATAAAATATTTTACCCCTTATTTTTTACCTTAAAAAAATTATGATGAGAACTAGCACATTGAAATTTTAAAACATCTCTCCTGAAAATTAATACTTTTCCACTTGTGACAGTGTTCTTCCAAACCAACGATATTATTCCTCTATTGAAAATTGATTAATTATGCTGCAGTTCAACATTACAGATATAAAGTGATACACATTAGTGTAATTGTGTCTAAATATAGGATTTGTGGAAGATTCAACGCAGATAAGTTCAGTTTTTCATCTTAAAAATCTAAACATACTTTTGATCATTATTAAAATATGAATCAAATACGAAGCCCGTAGAAATTTCGTAACTACTTTGCACGATAATCACAATAAAATTTGCCGCGCAAGTAATTGAATAGCCCTATATCACCGTCTAGAAGTTTATCGTATACCTTTGTATGAAATTCACAATGGCCGATATGTAAGTAAACCAGATGACTGTAATGTTTTAGTTATATATTCTTTACTTCGCCTGTACAATACATAAGAAATAGTTTGGTTGCAATAAAGTATGTAACAGAATAGTTGTTTAGTTGACAAAAACTGAATCTTGCACTGACGCAAATGTCCTATAGCGGCTGCACTTTTGTTGTATAACTGTTACCTGCAGCCATTATACAACCTCTTAAATCACTGAAGAGTCTTATTAGGTGTGGCCATTCCGCTTATATAGCTGTTCTAAGAGCGTTTTGCCAATGTTCTTACAGCATACAATGCTGTGTAAGGAACTCTGTATAATCGTTCTTGCAACTCTAATCGGAGTGATAATTGTTAGTTGGGTTCGAATTAGTGACAGATTGGTGAGAAGGATACTCCATCAAGATCTTCGATATCACCCGTATAAAATACAGGTTGTTCAATCTCTTCACCCGGGTGATTATCAACAGCGTCTCATATTTTGTGAGGTTATGCTTACCAGGTTGGAAGAAAATGATGACCAAGTTAACAACTTGTGGATAAGTGATGAGGTACTTTCACCTCTCCGATTTTGTTAACAACCAAAATTTCAGGTACTGGGCGGAGGAGATCCCTCGTTTGCTTCATGAATCACCTCTTCATGCTCAGAAAGTGAGAGTATGGTGTGCAGTGTCTGCCAATGGAATGATCGGTCCGTATTTTTTTGAGGATGAGGCTGAAAATGCCGTTACCGTTAATTCTGAGAGATACGTTGCAATGATTCGGAACTTCCTTACACCTCAACTTCACCGCTTTCCAGTTAATGAAAACACACTTTTGCAACAAGACGGTGCAACAAGCCACACAACGAATTCGTGACGAGATTGCAGCAATACCTGTTGATATGCTGCGAAGAGTTATGCAGAACTTTGGTGTCAATGGAGGACATTTGGCAGATGTGATATTTTTTTTAACATAGTATATCAAATGGCTACTCTTTTATTTCCCATTAAGGTATTACTAATTACAAAAAAAAATTTTTCTAAATAAAAATTATTTACGAAATCTTCCCTTTTCATTGCCGAACCCTGTATGAAGCTTGTTGTCAAAAATAATCTGACAGTGACATAACATGTCCGCCAACTAGATTACTACCAGATTTTAACGCTGGATGTGATAAGAACATTGTTTAGAAACCAAATCCGAAAAACATTTTTTGCGAGAGCCTGTTTTTATAAGAGACAAAAAAGAGTCGTTGGAAGGGTTGCGAAAAAGTTTTACTTTTTTTTTGTAGAAGTCAAATATTAGGACGTCCAGCAACACAAATTTTATTCAAATCAGTCTATCGGTTCCAAAAATATCTGCAAAAATGTACTTGCACATTTGCATTGAAGTAAATCACGTAATTTTGTGTCTACAAACATGTCCACGGAATGTTGGGACACTCTGTATACTGTAAACCGTAACACAATCATTGTGGTGCTAATATGTTTGTCGCGATCGACAGCAATTTGTGCATACGTGTAATAACCCTACATAATACTCAACCCATGATGTCATGCATGCATATTAAAATTGCAAATATTGAAATACATGCAGCTATAACAATGCGCAGCGTCGCACTTTCCTCCTACAAACGTATTACACGAAAAAGAAACAACTTTAAAATTCCATATTTCAATGTTAATCGTCGTCTTCGTCTTCGTCATCAGAAATATACTTCCTCTGACGTTTGTTCCTTTTATTGCCACTGTTCCCACTGCTGCCGCTACTCGACTTGTTCTTGCTTTTTGATATTTTGATTTTCATCTTCACTGTCGAGTCTGTATCACTTTTAGCTGCTTCTTCCTTATCTTCCTCAACTACAAAAAAAATAAGTCAGAGTAATACGTTGTTGGCCAAGTCCGGCTTGAAGAACCACAATGTTGAGATGGAAACCAAGATGATGGACGGAGATGAATAAGAACACCACCTGGCCCCTTTTCGTATAGCTTTTAATGAGCATAAACACTTTGTAAGTTATAATTACAATAAGGTTTCGCAATATACTAAATTTAACTCAGATAATTTGAGGTGTACACCATTTTGGAAGTAAAATCTGAATCAATAAATTAGCAAATAACTAAGCAGGTATAGCAATAAAGACAGTTCGCCGAGATTATCTGTGTTGATGAAAAGAATTCGGAAAAAAATTCGGGTTTTTGTCAAGTTTGGTTGTTGCCACGTCTAATCGTCCGAATTGCTGTTTATGTTGGTAGTTTCCGTTTTAAATTATAACCAATTGTAGATTTGGAAAACAATATCATGCAACATTTTGAACACTTCAAGATAAAGAAAGATTTTTCTAATTTTCTCGAAAACGAATCAAGCTGTTTTAAAAAATTAAAGGACTTCGAAACACCTTTCAAACAAGCTATTACTCATTTTAAATTTTTAAGGGGATGACCCTGGGGGCAGAGGGTGAAAGGAGGTGAAGTAGTTTTTGGTAAAAAATTTCTCCCCCTTGACAAATCTTTTGACGTGTCGGGGTGTTTTTTCTTTTAGGGTTTCCGATAAATGCGTGATGGGAAGTTTTTCAAATGAACACCCTGTATAGACTTCACTAGTGTTCGATTCACATACTGCTTTTACGACGATTATGTTCTTCAGAGGAATGTCTGAAAAATGCTAATTACCATCAGAATCCCCATCTGCTTCTATCCGTTGTTTTGCCTTGGAAAAAACTGACTGTAGAACTATACTGTCCTCGTGTATCAGGGATGCCTCCTCGTTGTAAATTTGTGCATTTTGGCATAACAGCATGAAATCACGTTCCAAATCAGCAAAATCAGTGTACTAAAAAAAATTATCATGTACGTTTTGAGTTTAACCCTTAAATAGTAACTGAACGTTCAAGGAGTGTATACGTAAGTTCAAATAAAAAGTATAAGTGTTGAGGCTGACGTCACTGCCCCATCTCTTCATATACGCTTGAAAAGGCTAGTCGATTTTGTATCAATCCTATTACATCCTGCTGTATTTTACGTTCTGACTTGCAGTTAACAAAATACGTTTTCCATATTTTTCTTATTATTTATTGTAAGCGATAATTTTTATGTGATTCGGAAAATATGGTAAGGTCTGTCGGGGCAACTGAACCCGAGAGGTAACTGGGCCCATACCCCATAATTATTTTTTATATTTATTATTTTCATATTTTGTAGAGAATGGCACGTACGTATAGTTTATCTGAAGTCACTTGAAATAGCATAAAAACCTTTGGCCGGCGCGTCCTTTGTAATTTCATGACGTATCATAGGCGTGCGGTTATTTATTTAGAACGATAATAATAATGTTTTTATATCACAATAAATGGATTTTACTATCTTCTTATTTTTTTGATTTGGGATAAAAAATACTTATATTGGGAGTTTAATTTATGTTGACTGAAAGTTAAGAAATGGAAAAATTACAGAATTCCAACGTTTGACATAGGCAAATATTTACATAGCAGGTAGTTATATAAAAAAGGTATATAAAGACTTACATTATAGGTATTTATATATCATCCTCGCCTTCGGAGCTGTCGCTAGAGTCATCTTGTAGAGGAATTACAACGGGATTTACAGGAGGCAAAACACAATATTCATTTTCTTTTTCAATAATATGCCTAGAACACTGCTTCCATAGGTCTGTGGCAGCAATATGAGATACTGCATCTCATATTGTGGCCAATAGCGATTCACTTAATTGAGGGGTCTGATTATGTTTTCTTACTTTTTTTTTAAAGCAGCCCAGACCAACTCAATCGGGTTAAAAATGCAGTAATAGGGAAGTAGACGTAATACTTCATGGCCATTTTGCTGAAGCAGATTGTCAACAACATACTCTTTTTCAAATTTTTATCTTTTAATAAGATCCAATAATATGGCTTTGGTTGATTTTTGTGGTATTTCCATTCCCTTATCCTTCACAAAAATGTCTTGTTTTTTGTGCCTGTATTCGGAATTTTGTTTTTCTGTCGGGAATGGTATGGCGCATTGTCCATAATAATCACTGAATTTGGGGAAATGTTTGGTATTAACTACTGCTCTATCCACTTTTCAAATAAGTCGGAGGTCATGTCCTCATGATAGTCGGCACATGATTCTTTGATATTTTTGGCAGATAACAGCAAGGCATTAGGTATAAATCCATTTTCACTGCCAGCATGGAGAATAATGGTTCGTTTTCCACGGTTGCATGGTGTATTTAAAATGCACTTGTTGCTGTCGTCAACCCAGCGGTACTGCACAACATCATGGGTATCATACCACGTTTCATCCAGGTAAATCAGATTTCTTTTCTGCTCTCTATAGATTTTAACTTTGTGCAAAAATTCTTGGCGCAATTCAACGATTCGAGACGACTCCATAATCACCATTCTTTTATCTAATTTTTTGTATTGAAAACCACACAGTTTTACAATACAGTGCAGTGAGTCTAAGCATTTGTAATTATAAAAATCTTCAGGATAATCTTTTAATTTATCCCGTATCATTTCCAACGTGGGCACCAAATTTTCTTTATAAAATCCGTATATTATACGACGAATATCTTCCTGAAAACCCACGTCTATTCTTTTTAATTTTTGCCCTATGCGCTTTCTGTGGAAGGAATGGTTGACTACATCTCCCCTTTTTATAACCCGATAAATGGTAGACCGACTGATTTTTGTCAGGATACAAATTCTGTTTAAAATTTGATTTTGCGACGAATCTGGATTTTCGTTTTTCAGACAATCATACATATTTAGGATTACTCTTTGGGTCTGTTCCTCTAAATCTTTATGAAAGAATTCTGCCTGCATAGGTTCATCAACCATCTCCTCGTGGCTTGGAGCATTTTCCCAAGGTCTCCAAAGAGCCATATTTAGGACTCACAAGAACAATCAACACAAAAATTAAATCAACAAGTAAACCGAGTATTCAAAAGTCAAAAACACACAAACTAATAAAATCTATGAAAAAACACGAACAGACTAAAGAAAACACGTTTATTCACCGCTACACGACACTGGCTAAACTGTTTCAATTTTCAGTAGCCACCTGCACTTGTTCAGAGCTCTGAAATACACGCTTTCTCATTGGCTATGTCCACGCATAGGCGTGCTTTACTCCACGTGGACCGGTGAAACTGCCTTTGATCTTATACGGGGGATATTCGCTGCGAAATTTGGCGATTTTTGCAGCAACAGAGCGTGTTAAATATAGATATATAAAACGCACCCGGTATTTCACAGTGTTTCAAGTGACTTCAGATAAAGTATACGTGAGAAAGACGGCAAAAGGAGCGGGTCCAACATATTCCACAGAAGATCTGCAGAAAGCTTTGGATGATGTAAAAAATGGAAATAAAAGCATTGGATTAGCAGCCATATTTTACCATATTCCAAGGTCGACCTTAAAGTTTTTTAAACGACTCGGTCAAACCATGAAATTTTTAAAGACATGATAAGTTTCAATACTGATCTCTGTGACCTAACCATGTTTTGATTTTCTAAATGTTTTATCATATCTCTTGATACGTACACACTAATTGGAAAATTGTTGTACCTTGTTGGTTTTGTAAAACTCAATAAAACCTTTAAAATTAAAGTGTTTTTTTATTAGGAGCATTTTTACACGGATCCTGTACATTGCCCACAGTTAGGGTTTTTGTTATATGTATAATTCTTTTCCAAGTTATATGTTTGTGTAGAAATAGGCCCAAATACCCCAGTTAGCTTTAACGTTAAAGGAACGCTGATGCACATGTATGGGTCCAGTTACCCCCTTTAGCTGGGGTAACTGGATCCACATGTTCTTGTTGTATAATATACTTTTTTCTAAAGTAATAAAAATAGTATCTGCTGCTTAAGTAGAAAGTAGTATAAACATGCCATAAAAATTATAAATCATTATTATTATAAATTTAGTAGTATGTTTTTAGGCTATTAATAAATGACTTCAAGCATTAGAAGTTGTAAAATCGTGGCCCAGTTACCCCGACAGACCTTATGTAGTCTTTTTACTTGCTACTCCAAAACTGCGGAGGCAGTATTGTAACCCCGAACAATTTCGAAATAGGGATACTATGTTTTTTGGATTTTATATGACATGTACATCACGAAAACCATGTCACTCATTTCCATCGGTCTGTCTATCTGTCTGTCCGCTAATTTTATAACTGCCTATAGCTTAAGAAGTAGCGCCCGGATTTTGTTGAATTTTTCACGCAAGGTTACTACTATGCCACAGATGAAAAAGCTGTATAGTTTTGGAAAATCGGTTTAGTGGTGACGGAGCTAGAGACAAAAATACGAAATGAATAAAAATCTCTTAAACTTCGCTGTCGCTGTGCAATGGGTAGCAACCTCCAACTGGTCTGCGGTGGTGTCGTCACTGGCACGCCGTTGCATAAAAAATATTTGTATATTCTACCAATACTTGGATATTAGACGTTAGCGTTTTGCATGCTTTTCTAAATGATGACTTGACTGTTTTTATATTTGCACATTTCGCACCCATTTCGCCTAACCTTCAATTTGTCTTGCTCAGTATATGACGTTTCTCTTATATTTCGTCAAGTAGATTGACTCAATACTTATGACGTATTCATAAGAGTATACAACAGACATGGACTGAGGAACCGACATATATAAGGAACACGCACTTGTGTGATGCATATAACTTTAAGCAACAGAAAACTAGTCAACCGAAGTTCGAATATCATCGCGAGGCTTGCAAGATAAAATGTTCGAAAATTTTCAGATCCGTCTCTGTTCTCATGCCTCCGCTTCTCGGGTTTATAGCCGTTCTATGACTATAGGCAAAAAATGTAAACGAATACAATATCGTTGTCGTCTACGATACGTATGTCTAAAAGTCGTATAAAATCAGTAACCTGCAATTTTTATTTTAGTAAGTATTTAAGGGTTAATAAATAGAACCATAGCGACTACTTTTAGCACTTCACTCACTATCTATAACAAATTCGAGGTTACCAAGAGAACACACAACGGGTGATTTGAAATTAAATCATATCGTTGTTCTAACAACTAAGTGTCATCTTTATCCTGGTTTAAGTGCATCCCTCGTTATACTTCCTTGAGGTCCATTTGCATCATTCTCAGTATGACTGAAAGGCTCGGTTTTTAAATTGCAAGTTAACTGTGATTTTAAAGCTAACCAGAAGTAAACTCTTAAAATGTGTTTTTCAATGTCAGGTTTGTCCTAAAACGGTAGTTAACATCAATCAGAAGACCATCCACTAGTTAGCTAGGAAGTTGTAGTTACCCCGCAATTCCTAAAATTTTTTTCTTGACAGTGACATGAGTGGTCGCGGATGACACGACACAAGTAGGTAAAATTTACTCACCTTTCCATCTTCAATTCTGTTAAGGATCTTAGTTATGTCTATAGGCTTCTTGATTATTTCATAATAATCGGGATAGTCCTTTCTTGGTGGTAATTTCATGAAAGGTTCACTTAATACTCGACCGTCACTGGAAGAATAAACATCAAATCAATCACTTAAACACGATAAAATAATAATTAATGAATATGTAGCATCAAATAAGCTAAAATTACAACTTATGTTGAAAATTAAAATATGAAAAGTACAGGGTGGCCGATATGTGACTGGTTTGTGTCTTGAATATTTGTGAAATGAGATAAAATACGTCCATCTTTTCATCTCAATCTTTTATTAAAACTTAGAAATTATGTATGAAAAATAATATCTGACAAATGACCGCATCTAGATTACATTTTCCATCATTTTTTGGTATGTTTCGGGAGGAATATTTTAAATGCAATATTGCATGACTGTATTCTCAGCGACTTTCATGATCACTAGGCTGTAGCTCTTGGGTTAACAGAATTTTGTATAGCCGCAAATGCAAGTCTTTTTTAAAATAGTGCATAGTTACGGGCGACGAATACCCAGTTCTTGAGAACGATGTCTGGTAGACGTCTCAGGGCGCTCCACTACACTTTCACGAACTCTCTCGATATTTTCCGCAGTAGGAACAGTTCGAACTCGACCCGGCCTTGGCAAGCCTTTAACGTCACCTGTTTGTTAAAATTTCCGCACAAAACTGACGAATTGTGTTCGATCGAAATCTTGTCGTAGCTTCCGAATCGTTGCAACAATCGACTCATTATTTACGTAAAACGATTTAACAGTACGAACGCGTTGTGTGATGTGTAGAGCTCCATCATGAATTGGACATGTATGCTTTGAACAACTACTACGACGCCACGTACTGAAATGCGTGTATAAAAAATGGCGCGCAATTTAAATCAGTCAGTTATATATTGGCCACCCTGTATAATAGCTGAGCAAACATGTCCACAGCAAACTGTAATCTCGAAGTACTATGTTAGTGCCACTATAAAACTTCAATGACAATACTGACACTAAATCAATGTTTTCAAAAGCCACTCACCTATCTGTATACTTATTCACAATAGACATCAACTTTTTCATTTGCTTCTTCAGTTTAGAATCTACCACAGCCTGACTTCTGCTTTTTCTCTTATTGCTGCCTGAGCTCACTTCAGTATCGGACTCATCACCTTTCTTCCTCCGTTTTCTTGTCTTTTTCTTCTTTGCCTTCTCGTCCTCGTCCTCTTCTTCTTCAAACTCACCAGTTTCGTCGATAGCCTAAAGACAAAGAAAACATCATCCAAAGAATGTGGTATGAGAAAATTAATTTTATTTATCAGGTTAACAGTATATACGATATTTAGTTATTGGAAGTCCACTAAGTGCACTAGCAATCTCCAAGCATACGACTGAAGGCACTTGATTAGATTATATTAGAATTCCCCAGTTTTCTGCTCTGAATCTCAAAAATCCAGCGTGTTGCTGGTATTTTTTGATACTTGCCTTTAACCACTCCTTCTCGGTCAGGCTATCAGTGTAATCAACTTCCTTCCTATGTCTTGTGCCTCTACCAAGCACGCTATCGTTATCTTCATAGTTCCATGGATCAACTTCATCATCCTCCTTGACGAGCCAATCAGGCAGCTCGCTGATCTCCATCAATCTAGCTTTTCTTGCCGAACCCAACTTAGCATCTTCTCTCCTCCTCTCCAGGTCCATCTTTTGAAACAGCTCGAATTCAGCTTCAGATCTGGCTACCATTTGGTTGACCGTTTCGTCGTCTGGTACCTCGTTTTCTTCCTAGAAGTACAATAAACCATCGTTATCTATCGATGAATAACTGGTTCAGTTATTAATTTCTAGATTCTTTCTTACTAACGGGCGTTGCTTTGATTACATTTTCGTGCAAAATCATGTATTCATAACTTGGACTACCATAATTTCAAACGAAATGCTTCTTGTTGAAGCTCGAGCATTTAGTTAGTTATTTGATGATGAGGTTTTTCGCTATAAACCGATGCACCATTTATCCTTCTTATACGAAAGTTTAAAAAAAGTTCTATACAACAGTTATGGGATGTATATCATGTAGTGTCCTTTAAAATTATAGATGTTTTTTATGATTTCAATTTTTTTTTCTTCAGTCAAAAACTTTACTGTTGTATGTCATTTAATCATAGATTGAACAGGCGGCGAGGTATAAACTTGTTTTGATGACACACAAAGTTCAACTTTTTGACTGAAGCAATAAAAAGATCTACAATATATATATGGCAAGGTACACTCTTTTAACTTAAACTGAAGCTTTCGACGGTCTATGCCATCATCATCAGGAGCTAAAAGCAAAATTTTGGAAAGCAGCAACAATAAGCAATTAAAAAGGAGTATTATTACTTACTAAGTAGAGGTTATTGTTGGTTTTGTTCTTAGATGAATTAGAAGAGAACACATAGTCAACGAACAAAACAATGGTTTGTTGGGGTTAAATGAGGAAGAATTTGTAATTGTAACTTATTGGTAAAACCATAGCTATGTTTTTTCTCAAAAAACTACTAACGGATTTAGAAGAACTAGAAGATTTATTTAACTTAAACTCAAGCTTTCGACGGTCTATACCATCATCATCAGGAGCTTAAAACAAGATTTTGGAAAGTAGCAGCAATAAGCAATTAAAAAGGAGTATCATTACTTACTAAGTCGGCAAGATTGTTGCTGAAGTTGTTCTTAGACGAAGTAGAAGAGAACACATAGTCTACGAACAAAAAACTGGATTGTGGAGTTTAAATTGGGAAGAATTTTTAATTATTACTTATTGGGAAAACCATAGCAATGTTTTGATCTCAAAAAACTACTAACGGATTTAGAAGAACTAGAAGATTTATTAACTATTGAAAAATCTCTCGAACAATCATCTTTTCCGGAAACCTTGTTCGAATAATGTCTAATAGTTAATAAGTCTTCTAATTCTTTCAAGTCTGTTAGCATTTTTTTGAGAAAACACATAACTACGGTTTTACCAATGAGTGATCATTAAAAATTCTTTCTAATTCAACCTCAACAATCCAATTTTTTGTTCGTTGACTATGTGTTCTCTTCTACTTCGTCTAAGAGCAATTTCAGCAGCAACCTCCCCAACTTAGTAAGTAATGATACTCGTTTTTAATTGCTTATTGTTACTACTTTCCAAAATCTTGTTTTTAGCTCCTGATGATGATGGCATGGACCATCGAAAGCTTGAGTTTAAGTTAAAAGAGTGTACTTTGCAAAACTGTGCCTTCCCCCCAAAGAAATTCAAGGATACTTTGTCCTAACGAACTAAGGCAACTTAATTATGAATATATATTTGAAATCAGAAAAAGCTGCTATCATTGTGGTCAAAGGTGTCTAGGGTATAGGGATATAATTTTACAAATATATAATTTTATTAGATCGATAGTACACAAAAAACGCGGGAGATGACCGATTCATACCGGGACAACTTGTACCATACCAACTACAGAAACAGCGATTCGATAGTCTTTTTCAATCTAGTTATTTATTGTACTATTTTCTTTACCTCTTCGTCATCACCATCTTGATGCAATATGTGCTGCAAAAACTGCTGTCTCTCAGTTCCAGTTGATTTTTGATCAAACATACCAGCTTGAATCACTTTTTCGTCCATGTTCAACTTATACCTGGCAGCGGCAAGAATTCTTTCTTCTACGGAATTTACCGTCATCAACCTCAAGACTCGAACCTCGTTCTGCTGGCCAATCCGATGAGCTCTGTCTTGCGCTTGGAGATCCTGTTACAACCCATTTTCCAACATTAATTTTTGTCAAACTTTATTACATAATTACCTTATGGAGGACTATAATCAAGAGCTTGAATATCGGTATATTTCTTCCAACTTATTTTTGAATTTCGGAATTTACAAAAAATTTTAATACTTCCCATTTTTTTTTGTAAAAAATTTCCAGGTCTCCAGATTATTTTCTAATTTTCCGAATTTTCTAATTATTTAACAAATTTTCATGTGAAAATTTCAAAATTCAATTCAAATTTTTTTTAAAATCCAGATTTGATTTTTTTCCAATATTGTATTGTCATTGTCCCTTGAACACTGTGCAAATTTTCAAATTAATCACTTCTTGAAAGTAGTGAAAATTAGGTGGAAATGTTCACCCACATTACCTACATACATTCATACACACATTCATACACACATTCATACATACATTCATACATACATTCATACATTCATACGTACATTCATACGTACATTCATACATACATTCATACATACATTCATACATACATTCATACATACATTCATACATACATTCATACATACATTCATACATACATTCATACATACATTCATACATACATTCATACATACATTCATACATACATTCATACATACATACATTCATACATACATTCATACATACATTCATACATACATTCATACATACATTTATACATACATTATACATACATTACATACATTTATACATACATTACATACATTATACATTCATACATACATTCATACATACATTCATACATACATTCATACATACATTCATACATACATTCATACATACATACATTCATACATACATGCATACATTCATACCTACATTCATACATTCATACATTCATACATTCATACATTCATACATTCATACATTCATACATTCATACATTCATACATACATTCATACGCATACATTCATACATACTATCATACATGCGTGTTAAAGTGTCTTGCACAAAATTTAACAGTTTCATTTTAGATAAGATTTTTGAAAGCCCATATTCCGATGAACGCTTTAAGAAAGTTTCAAAATTCATTTTGAAATGGACTGTATGCAAATAGTATCCATAAACTTACTTGATGCGGGTTCCAGTCAGAATCAAATATAATCACAGTATCAGCGCTTTGTAAATTCAACCCCAGACCACCGGCTCTAGTGGACAACAGGAAGATGAAATACTCGCTGTGCTTATCGTTGAACTTCTTCAACAGATCTCCCCTGTCTTCAGCCTTTGTTGTTCCGTCCAGACGAAGGTATCCGAATCCACGGTAACTCAAGTAGTCTTCCATTATAGTCATCAGTTGCGTCATTTGACAGAAGAGAAGAACTCTGTGGTTGGTAGCCTTAAGTTTCGGTAGTATTCGGTCCAGTAGCTCGAATTTTCCAGACGCTCGATATATATCAGGTCTACAAAATAATCAATTATTGATGAGAAGTACACAAGCATTTGCATCTGAAAAATATCAAATTACTCGTAGTTTTGTATGTTTAGTTGTTTAAGATTTAGTAAACATGATTACTATTATATTCTTTTAACAACTACAACTATTACATAATATACGTATACAAATATAAAGTCAGTCAAAACTGGCATTTTAATTTTTCCACCCAGGTTTGTGGAAATAATCAGCCAAAAGTGACGTTCACTGTGACCTTGACCATGGCCTTTAAGATCAAGTCAAAACTTGCAAACAAATTATCCCATTTTTATACTCCAATTGAAAAAGCAGGAAATTTTAAGACGTACAATTTCCTGATGTTTGAACTTCTAGAGGTCTCAATTGGTAATATTGGACAAGCTCATGGTCAAGGTCAAAGTAGTCGCCAAGGTCAAGGTCATTGTCAAGGTCATTGTGAAGGTCATGGCCATAGACAAGATCACGGACATGGTCAAGGTCATTGTCAAGGTCAGTGTCAGGTTAATGATCGTTGTCAAGATCCTATTCTAGGTCATATTCAATGTCATAGTAATTGTTCATGGTCAAGGTCATGGTCACGGTCAAGATAATTGTTATTGTCATGGTCAAGGTCATTATCTAGTTCGTGGTCAAGGTCATTGTCATGATCAAGGTCACAGTCATTGTCAAGGTCATGGTCACCTTGCGTTATCTCCACAAGCCTCATGAGTGATTTAACCTTGAAATGGCCTTGAACGAAAAGATCATAGACAAGGTTATTTCCAAACGTTTAATTTGCTTCCCTTTTCAATTACGTTGCAAAATGGGATATTCTGTTTAAAAATATCCACTTGGCCTTAAAATGACCTTGAAGGTCGTAGTCAATGTCATTGCCAAGGTCACCCTCATTCTGCATCCTTGAATGTTATCAAAATATTACCCAGATATTACGCCACCAGCAATACCGACGTGGTCACAGTACTTTTCTTCAATATTTTGGAACATAAACGGATGATTGCACAGTTTTCGCAATTGCACAATCGTGTTCATAAGTGCTTTGGCACCACCTTTGCCCTTGGTTCCGCGTTCAGAACCATCTGTGAGTAGAACTCCCTTGCCTTGCATATGCCTGGAAGAAAGAATAGAGATAAGGATTCGGAGAATAGAGTACATCCAGAAATAATTGTTTTGAATATATTTTAAATAATGTTAGCCGTACTTACTTGTATAATACTTTCTGTAATCCGGACATGTCACATTTTATAATGTACTCTACTTTGTCAGGAAGCTGTGACTCCACTTCCTTTTTCAGTCTTCTAAGTAGGAAAGGCCTCAAAACCTTGTGCAATCGACGGATGATCAAGATAGTTTCTTCTTCATTTAATTCAACCTGAAGTGAAAAATTGTATATTGATTTGTACCAAACAAAATCCCATCTTCATTCCTCCGATAAAAGTTAAGAAGAGAGTTTTTCTCCAAGCCTTACCTTTTCTCCAGTGGTAGCGAAAGGTGCATTAAACCATTGCTCAAAAGTGGAGCAGCTTTTGAATATTGAAGGTAAAAGAAAATTAAGCAATGCCCAAAGCTCTGGTAGCTTATTTTGTAGTGGAGTACCAGTCAAAAGTAAACGATGAGGTGCGAGATAATGAGTGTTCAGAACTTGAGTCAGCTTACAGTGGTGGTTCTTCATTCTGTGGCCTTCGTCTATGATCATATATTTCCATGGTAACTAGAACAGAAACGAAGGAAATGACAAATTTAAAAAAATCCTGCCCAGCATAATTTAAATGCTTTGAGGAAAAAGTCAGTTACAGTCATGTGCAATAGGGAAAAATTAGTCGGATTTAGCCAGTCATCATTATTTCCCTGGCCGACCGGTAGTTACTGTCCATCTGGCAACGTTGTCCCTTTCTACATCTGCGCGGCACCACCGCAGCGAGTTGTTCATTCCGTGCATGGTCAGGGCATATGCTTTTTTGCTTTGCAGTAAGGATAGATCAGTCAGCCCGACCGGCTCGCCGGGCGGTGAGCTCAAGTATCAGGAGTACGCGGATCGAAAACGTTTCTCTATCATTCTGGGTTTTAAAGGACAATGTACGGGGGACATGGCTTTCCATATATCATCATATAACACATCCAAAAACCACAATGACTCAACCCGATTACAAAATTGGAAATTCATTTGTTATACATACCTTGGCAAGAACCCCCTTGTCCTTGATAACGTACTCGTAAGTGGTTAGGAGTACGTTAAATTTAGTTGACCTCATTTGACTTTGGACCTGTCTCCTACCAGCAGGCGAACCCTTGTATGAGACTACGAGCACAGATGGCGCCCATTTTTCAAATTCTAAGACCCAGTTTGAGAGAGTGCTGAAAATAAATAAATCCAGGATCTCACATTCGACCTGTTAAATATAGTCATCGGTAAGGTGATAAAAGTACGTGGATACGTTAATCCAAAGTTCTATCGTTCATCTTCGGCCATGAGCATCCAAAATTTTGAATTGGGGCCACCCAAAATACAAATTTTATGAGGTAATGAATGATTGAAAAGGAGTAAGCGCACGGCAATATAACTCCAAACACAAGTAATTTTCAATGTGGATGGCGCAAGATGAGTCTGCATCTTTACAAATAAGTAGTTAGACAGCTTCCTTTCCCTCCTACTTATCCTTTGAACGCGGTCATGTTAGCAACCTGAAATTGTGGATCATCTCCTATTTTCTCTCAAACCTTCATTTATGTTTTGATTTTAATCACAAAAACTGTTGGGCGTATATTGTTGACGAAGACGTACCAGTACAACAAATTTGGAACCACGTCTCACAGTTGTCAATTTATTCGAAAACCTGTCAAAAATTGAACTTCCGGAAATGAATGAAAACTGTCGTTTTTACGATCCACAAAAACTTCCACCATTTTTGCCAATTGTAATACTAACACGATATCCAAAGTGCATACAACTGAAGACCTTATCATATTATGCTGCATTAAAAACATTATACTTTGCATACAAGGTGTTCATTTAAAAAGTTCCACCACCACGCATTTATCAAAAATCAATGATTGAGGAAAAAAGCACCGAGGCACGTTAAAAGATTTGTCAAGAGGGACAACTTTTTAAAGAAAAGCTACTTGACCCCCTTTCACCCTAGGACCCCCAGAGTCATACCCTTAAAAATTTTAAATGACAAGGGGTAGCGAGTAACAGCTTTCTTTCCCTTGGCAACAAATGACTAAACAGATATAACAATAAATACAGTTCACCCAGGATATCTGTGTTGATGAAAAGAATGCGGAAAAAATTCGGGTTGTTATTTGGTTGTTGCCACGTCTAATCTTCCGAATTGCTGTTTATGTTGGTAGTTTCCGTTTTAAATTATGAAACGAATTGTAGATTTGGCAAACCTTAACGGGCTACATTTTGAGCGCTTATTGAAATAAAAAGTGATAGTTTCATGTGTTTTTGTTTTCTAACTGATCAAATTAAGATAAATATTTTTCTAATTTTCTTGACAATGAGTCGACCGTCAAAATAAATGACTTCGAAAGACCTTTTAAACAAGCTATTACTCGAAACCCCTTATTATTTAAAATTTTCAAGTGGATGACCTGGGATTAAGTGGTTTTTGGTTAAAAAATTGTCCCCTTGATAAATCTTTTGGCGTGTCTCGACGTTTTTTCTTTTAATCACCGTGGTTTTCGATAAATCCGTAGTGGGAGGTTTTTAAATATATTATAGGGTGTCCCAGAAGTCGACGTCAAGCCGAAACCGGGTGATAGGCAAAGTCATAACAGCTATCAGAAAAATAAAAAAAATTTATGAATGTGTTTTGAAAATTATAGGTCTTTGAAAAAGATATAGAAACTTCACACCATACGGCAGTCTGTCAACTCCTGTTACTACAAATATTAACTTTTTTTGGATTTTATTTTTACAATGTAATGATGAATAATGCATCTTCAAACTGGTGTTTCAATCTTACTGCCAACTTTTCTCGTTCAGGAAAAATTGCCACTTATTTCCCAACCAAGTATTCCAAAGTAAAACTTTGCTCAACTTTAACTGGCTGTACTGGAAAAAATGTACTACGAGAGTTTGGCAAGTAACCTTAAAAGTTGGCGCATTTAATAACGATTCCAAAATGGTATAACACTTAGAAGATTACTCGTTAACTTATGCACAATTTTTATTTGAAAAAAAGCTGATGAAAATTTTTCAAAATTTCCTAATTAAACAGCGATTATGAAAACGCACAAGGACTCTTAAGGATAACTGTTTGCACAACAGTGGGCGTCAAAATGCTGCTGATGATGATTTACCTTTACAGCAAATGGTCAAACTGTTTTCCTTCAGCCGCAATACACGCTCGACATCTTAAAAAAGATCGGGTTGTTAAACGAGCGAATCCACGGTTATTAACAAACTCAGCTGCTTCCAATAGTCTTTGCCGTAGCTCAGCTGCATTTTGAATCGGCTTGAAATACACTTTTTCTTTTACAGTTCCCCAGTAAAAAAATCTAAAGGATTCAAATCAGGTGATCGGGCTGGGCACGGTATTGTACCAGACCGCCTTATCCATCTGCCTGGAAAGTTTTGATCGAGATACTCTCTCACTGAGAGTGCATAGTGCGCTGGGCAGCCATCATGCTGAAACCACATGTCCCTGTAAATACTCAGTGGCACGTCCACCAATAAATTTTCTAAATGATTTTGCAAAAAACCTAAATAAACCTCAGCAGTCAAAGTCTCTGGGAACTCAAACGGACCGATTATTTTACCATTTAAAATTCCTGTCCAATGGTTTATCTTGAAGCGATATTGAGATTTATCTTCTCTCATCAAATGTGGGTTTGCTACGTGCCACTCGTGTAAGTTATGCAGGTTCATGTACCCATCTTTCTTAAATGTGGTCTCGTCTGACCATAAAATTTTTTCAAAGAAAAAATGTAGCTGAGCTACGGCAAAGACTATTGGAAGCAGCTGAGTTTGCTAATAACCGCGGATTCGCTCGTTTAATAACCCGATCTTTTTTAAGAAGATGTCGAGCGTGTATTGCGGCTGAAGGAAAACAGTTTGAGCATTTGCTGTAAAGGTAAATCATCATCAGCAGCATTTTGACGCCAACTGTTGTGCAAACAGTTATCCTCAAGGGTCCTTGTGCGTTTTCATAATCGCTGTTTAATTAGGAAATTTTGAAAAATTTTCATCAGTTTTTCTTCAAATAAAAATTGTGCATAAGTCAACGTGTAATCTTCTAAGTGTTATACCATTTTGGAATCCTTATTAAATGCGCCAACTTTTAAAGTTACTTGCCAAACTCTCGTAGTACATTTTTTCCAGTACAGCCAGTTAAAGTTGAGCAAAGTTTTACTTTGGAATACTTGGTTGGGAAATAAGTGGCAATTTTTCCTGAACGAGAAAAGTTGGCAGTAAGATTGAGACACCAGTTTGAAGATGCATTATTCATCATTACATTGTAAAAATAAAATCCAAAAAAAGTTAATATTTGTAGGAACAGGAGTTGACAGACTGCCGTAGGGTGTGAAATTTCTATATTTTTTTCAAAGACCTATAATTTTCAAAACACATACACAAAATTTTTTTAAATATTTTTCTGACAGCTGTTATGACTTTGCCTATCACCCGGTTTCGGCTTGACGTCGACTTCTGGGACACCCTGTATATATATCATATATTTTCAAAATTGGAATATACTTCGTTGATTTGGAGTTCCTATTCTAACTTATATAAATCAAATCGATCATGCTTAAAGGGAATTTTTTATGTATCTGGTTTTCAAGATTGATTCAGTTTACCCTCAGCGTGGATCGGACTACCAAGTATTGTTGGAAAGATTCCAGGTTGCTTACTTGAGTCACTGAAGAAAACACAACTCCGTCATTTTTTTAAATAAACTTTTACATGGTATTGTTGATCTTCAGACCTGTTAACCCAGCTCCAATTTCCAACTCATCAAATTATTTTCCAAATGAACCAAATCTGTTCGTGGATCGTGGATACTTTTGAACATCTGCTAGCGACTACTATATATGGTTAAGTGTAGGAGTAGCAGCATACTAAACTTCGCCATGTGAGTCTAACATTTGGCTATACTACAATGTAATTGTGGATAAATAAAGACGCCTATTATTATCATTATTATTATTATTATTATTATTATTACTATGTATTAAATTTCCGAATTAGTTTCCAAATTTTCAAATACATTTTTTCCAAGATTATTCAATAGTCTCCGGCTCTTGATCCATGTATAAATTTTCAATTCAATCAGTCTTCTACAGACCACGGTAATAAAAGCATCTTATAAAGCAGACAGAGGTGGTAATACTCTAGGTACAAGAAACACCCACGTACAATGCTGCTTCCCTGATTCCTAGGACGAGCAGATGCACCCCAAATTCTTCATTGCACCGAACACGAACCGAGAGAGAACAAAAAAAAATAAAGGTGGTGGTGGCTCAGGTACAAAAAACAACCCTACTACAATTCTGTTCTACTGATGATTCCTAGGACGAGTAGACGCAGCTCAAATTGAGACGCTTCGACAGTTCACTGTATCGAACGCGTACAGAGAGAGAACGAAAGGAAAGTAAAGGCGGTGGTGGTTCGGGTACCGAAAATAACCCTACTACCATTCTGCTGCCCTGGTAATGATGCTCCAGGCGAGTCGACGCACCACATCTTAAGACGACTCCGACGCAGTGAGTTTCAAGTCATTTTACAAGGGTTCACCTGCTTCAAACCTGACACTCCATTTTTCAATAATTTTGAATGAAATTCATACAGTATGTTGAGAAGACAATTAATTACCCCGGGTGCTATAGGAGCACTTTTTGAAATGTTGTTTTTGCACAAGTTTTATGATGTGTTGAAGTGCGCAGTTTTTCTGTTCAACTTCGCGATTTTTTTAAAAAGAACCTAGTGGAAAACAATTAAAAAGTCGTTCTATAGCACCCTGCGGGGTTTTGCTTTCAGCACTCTGTGAAAATTTCATCCAAAAATATCAAAAAGTAAAGCGTCAATTTCTAAGCGCGCAAACCTCTACAAATCGTAATTTCGACGAATTTTGTCTACTGTTTCGTGCGGCCAACCCAAGCGTTGCGGCGCAATGTACGGACTAATAAATCTGAATAATTTGGTGGCCCTATTTCATATAATATCGCTGATACTCCTCGATTTTAAAGCCGTTTTACTTCCCACGTCATTGGAGAGGAAGTATTGTAATCGCGAAAAATTTCTAAAATGAGATTTTATTTTTTTTTAAGTCATATGAAAAACTGTATCACTCCTCAACTTGGAAATAACAGATTTTTATGAAACTTCCACACGGGGTTACTAGTATGCCGAAGCTTTGTAGTGTTAGTCCAGTGGCAACGGTGCTATAGGCAAAAAAGAAAAAGTAACAATTGAAGGGTCGGCCAGCACAACGTTGTATGTAACAAAAAAGCTCAGTGGCCGAAATTAAGAAAAACAAATTTGATCCATTTTTTCAAATGACTGCCTCTATGGTTGGCCAGCACAATAAAGGAACAATAGTTATACAAGGTTATAGTGATTTAAAAATGTGACACCTATTTTGCAGCTGTGGGAACCATTTTTATGGAAAACGCATGTAACAAGGTTGTATGATCACGTTACTTACAACGTTGTTACAGGGAGGCTTTAAATGACTATGAGCAAAACAAGTATTTTCAGCAGTTCTATTTATTAAGGGAACCAAAGTACACAGTAACATATTTTTAATAACAAAATAATACGTTCTAAGTTCATCAACGTGTTTCGAAACCAAAACTGAAACTTAAATAAATATTACTGGGTTGCAGTTAATTTCTCATAAAATGTTACATACTTAAGCGGAATATAATCAGTCATATCTCGCAGGTTTTTTAATTTTTCAGCTTTGATTGGAAGACGGTTGTGATACATTATAGGTAATTTTTCAGATGATATGATATCAGTGGCAAAAGTCATTGTTTCTTTTCTTTAACGATTGCTTATGGGAAATGAATTCCAGGGCTGCATAATATTATGAGATTTTCTCATTCTCAAAGTAGCTGGAGAATCAGCGGTAAGTTGCAGCCACAATCCTTCTGTAATCTTACATTTGGGGTATTTCCATATACCCTTTTCCAAAGCTGTTAAATTCTCAAAGAAGGCTTGGTGCATCCAGGCAACTTTAAAAGGATTTTTAACTTTGGCTTTAGCAATGACATCGACCCACTGGAATGGTTCATAAACCATAGATATTCTTTTTTGTTTACGTACATACAACGTTCTTACGCAGAAGACTGAAATAGCGCGCTTTACAAATTCGATCACAGTGACTGATGCGAGTAAACAGGTGGGTCTATGTTCTCAACGGGTCCCAATAGGCACATACTACGTTGTTTTATAGAAATCTCATTTTATAGAAAAATGTTATATACAGCGTTGTTCCGGTCGACCCTTCAATTGCTGAAACTCCGTTTTTGACGTTACAGAAATCATTGACAGAAAAAAATGGACTGCTTAAAAAAGGGGGGTTGAAATCCGCGAAACACGTTCTATTACTAAGAAGCTTCTGATCCCTGTGATTACAGGAAATTTAAGTATCGAAAATCCGACGAATAATGTGCTAACGATTTCAAAAAATCGGTACCTGCTCTATAGGTTTGACACCAACAGCCAACAGATCTGCAACTGCCGACAGTAGGGAAGAATAAATTCGGATATCACTCCAGTCAAGTATATGGGAATTTAGCGTGGAACTTTAAAATTATCGATATGTCAAGGAAATATGTTTTTGAGAACGATCATTTGGTAGATTTTATACCTGCATTTTCATTTGAATTTCATGACCCGTGAAATGTATCCATTTCGCCGTTACGTTCAATTTGTGTTCTGCAGTTTGTGATGTTTTTCTGGGTATAAGCAGGACATAATTGCCTAAGGTGCTATCAAAGCGTTTTACAAAATTTTGTCTTTGCGCAAGAATTATGGTGGGTTGAAATGCGTACTATTTGTGCTAAACTTCTTGATATTTTAAAAAGATCCTAGTGGATAAAATCGAAAAAGTAGATCGTTAGCACCCTGTGGCCTCGTTTTTAGCACGCTGCAAGAGTTTCATTTGGAAATAATAAAAAATGAAACGTAAGCTGTGAAGTGCAAATCGGTTTTTGGGCGACATTCGTCTACTGTTTCGTCCTGCCAGTCCAAGCGACGCGACGGTGCGTTCCGACTAAGAAAAAATGTATTCAAATAATTTGATATCTTTTCTAAAATAAATTCAAGAACTCAAATTACAATTCGTGAGTTAACACAATTATGTTTAAAAGGGTCATGTGGTACATGGTAACAATTGAATGAGAGTCATAAAAATATGTTATCCCGTAAAAATAAGAGGAAACAGTTAGGTAGTTTTTGCAAAGCAATAAACAGGTAGGATTATACCTGGATTAAGTACATTTCTTGTCTACTGTAATAGGTAGATGGAGGCGTTGCTGCCAGAAATGGATGTGTGTGATCAATAAACAAACCACAAGACTGAACTGCGGTGTCCAATGATTTTTGTATTGCCCTTTTTATTGCGTTACTAGAAAACACTGTTGTGTTTATGATGGAGTTTACTAGAACTTTATAGCTTCTTGTCTGCCTTCTTCTACAAACTTCACCAAACCTAGACGCTGTCAAACTTATCCTCCGATGAAGGCGAGACAAAGTAGAGTCCTGTGATTTGGTGACTTGTTCGATCTGCAAAATCTCGTCGTCACTTTTTTTAAGTTTCCCTAAAAATGTTCGCTTAGCAACCTCCAAATCAATGTAGTTAATGTCAGGTTTTTGACAGAATTCGCCATAAAACTATTCATTTTCTTTGGACTTGTTATCCGATTTGTTAGTTATTTTTATATCAGCTTTTTTTGGTCTGAGTTTATTTTCAAGATTCTTGCGTTTGAGTCTTTGTTTCATCTTAGTGATAAGCGAGGTTGGATTAAGCTTAGAACGCAAATTTAATCAGACTACATATACAGGCCGCTGGGTATTGTGGCTCACTACAGCTGCAGCACATCTTCCATAGTATGACTTCTTCTTGCAATAATTTATTCGCTTACCCCAATGTATTTTGCGATTATAGAGTTGAACTGCTCCACACTATTGTTGACCTCATCATGAATTAAACTCACTGCATTCGTAATTAAAATGGTCGCATATGACCCTTTATTGTCCATTACCAGCCTTGATAAAAAAAGGCACTCGAGAACAATCACACCAGCAACAATTCAACAACACAATATCGACGAACAGTAACAAGGGGAGAAAAATACTAAATGATCACTTGCTTAGTACCCAAATAAGAAACGATTTACATTCTAGATCGCTAATCGAAATCCGAATCTGTTATTATAAAAATTTACCTTGGTATGCACCCGCAGTCATCCTTTCCTCTTTTAAAGTAACGCCGACTACCACGTCGGCCCAGCCCACCCTCGTTTCCTTTTCACCCCCCCGATACCTCAGTAGATGATGCTCGTGATTGTAGGAGCCCCGTTAAGAAATGTACTCGCTGTAACGCAATAGAGAAATTAAGCGGATCAAGCGCGTCAAAGAGGTCCATACAATTAGACCATAGACACTCTTTCCCTGCCCTACTCGTAGTAATGTCCATCTGGCAACGTCGCCTCTCCCCAATACCTGATCGTACGGTGCGTCAGATGCGACAGCGCGGCGGAGCGCCAGTCGTGCAAGGACACTTATGAATGAATGAATACAGGGTGTCCGCAAAGTTGGGGTTTTCCTTTTCAGAAACAACTACCCTTGAAATAACAAAGGTAATGTGTAGTGAAACGAAGGCGACCAAGTAAAAAAAAAAGGAAAAAGTACTCACTCTCCAGTTGACGAGAAGGGCTAAGTACGTCGCTGCCCGAAATCATACCGCTCCAACAGAAAATGAAATCAGCTGATGCGCTACCGAGCAGACGCCGGCGGTGGTGCAGACCACGAACAGAGGTAACAAATATGACCATCGTGCAGAAACCATATTGATTGTCTTACACTTAATGGCATATCTTCTAACAAGGAAGGCAAAATGTTGCGTGAAAAGTCCAGGTATTGCATCCCGTAAAATCGATTTGGGAGAATAAATGGTCCAATGAGCATACCGTTCACCATGCCAACCCAAACACCGAAAATGTTTGCTGAAAATGTGCCCGACGGACAGCGTGCGGATTTTCTACTGACCAAACATGAGTGTTGCGAAAGTTATTCACCCCATTACGCGTGAACGTAGATTCGTCTGTCACCAATATGCACTACAAAAAGTCCGAATTATTGTCATGTTGATGCAACAACCACTCACAAAACCGCACTCTTGCTGGAAAATCGTCAGGTTGAAGGGCTTGTACACGTTGGACGTGAAACGGATACAGCCCCTCTTCACGCAGCGTTTGCCACACTTTAGTTTTTGATACTTGCACTTCTCTAGCCACGTCTCTAGTGCTTGTTGTTTTTTGAAACGCAATCGATTATACGAGTTCGTTTACCTCTACACGCGTGACTTTAACCGTCGGTTGAAGGTTGCATACTGACCTGACACTGACCTGACACACTGACCCCCAGTTCTGTCGTCGGGTTGAGCTAGTGTCCTAGTACCAGTCGGGGATGTCGCGAGTCGCGGCTACAGGACGGAATTCAGATATTTTTGATGTTGCAGAGCCCTTTATCTTGGTTCCCTTAAGACATTGGTGTATGTGGTACTAAGAAAAATTGCTTATGTTTTCAAGATCTACACGTCGTGTAAAGGAACACCCCAACTTTGCGGACACCCTGTATTAATGATTGTTTATTCTCTTAAATTTGAACAAATTAGTCTTTTTTTAACGTTATACCAGATTTAGATTCCTTGTCCTGTAAATGGAACTTATGCACTCGCATCCTGATTACTGACTACGTAATTTTGAATCAAAACAATTGTACACTAGCTCGTTCTACCTAGCCGGAATTCATTGATTCAAATCCTCAAAGTTGTATGTATCGACGGTCGAATAATTGTTTTAAAACATCAATATATGTACTTACGATAGTGGTACAATGATCAGGTACGGACCATTAACCTTCTTCTTCTCCATCAGATGCGTGATCAGGGCGATGGTTTGTATCGTCTTCCCAAGACCCATCTCGTCAGCCAAAATTCCGTTCAAATTGTTGTTGTACAAAGAGACCAGCCATTCCAATCCCTTGATTTGGTACTCTTTCAGTTTTCCGTTGATCATTATAGACGCTTGTTCGGTGACAATTTCATGGACTGTATGAGCAATGCTGTAGTAAGTTTGATCTTCGATAGAGTTTTTGTGGTATTCGTCATCTTCAACTCTAGCTTTCTTTATTACGTCTTTCGCTTTGTCCGCTTCGGACCTAGGCCCGTGGTGAGCTACAAATGAAACATTATTTATTCATTAAACTTATTACAGGTCTTCGTTCCTCAATAAAGGTATAAAGGGTACGTATATTGAGCAGTCTGTTTTTTAGTTTCCATTACTGAGATAACAGGAAAATAGCTTCATCTCTTCTCAAGGTCAATAATGTCAACCTTTTTGCAATAACTGCACACAAAGAATATTGGTGGGTGATTTTACGTGGAAAACACAGGAGATCCAAAATAAGAACACAGAAAAGTAAAAGGTGTTTTTGAAATACCCCCGTAGATGCATCAAGCAGCAGTGTTGGATATTGTAAAATGTTCCTGTTTTGGATAAAAAAAAAATATTTGCAAGAACATGAAACATAGAGTGAAGTAGATAAAACTTGACAAACTCATTCTTTCTTAATATCAACGTTTTCAGACTCCCAAAGAATTTGATTAGGCAACGAACATCGGAGAGCTTCAAACGTTCAAATTTCCAAGATATTTTCTTGTATAAGCCGAATGATTATAGGAAATTGGACCTATCATACGTGCAAAACTTGTTAAAAGAACGTGAACACCTTACTATAACACGCATTAAGTGTATTTGACGAAGGACCTTTATCATGGTATGAAGGCGGATATGATATAACTCTATACTTCAGAATAGATGAGAGTATTGTAAGTTTAATAGTAATACTTGTGAAATGACGATAGAAAAACAGTCATACTTGAAATAGGAAAAATAAGTGTATTCAGTGCATTTTACCAAGTACAAGGGTTCTATAATGCCAGAACTGAACCAACCACCCTATTACTATTCTGCTATCCTGATAATGATTCGCAAGGTGAGTCGACGCTCCCCATAGGTGCAGCCTGCATCAATATATATATATATATATATATATATATATATATATATATACCCACAAAAAGTAGGCAAAGGCGGTGATATTCTTGATACAAGAAACACCCCGTTATAGTGCTGCTTCCCTGATGATTCCAAGGACTTACCACCCCTGAATTGAGACCCTTCGAGATGACTTACACTGCACGTATCGAAAGATTACATACAGTTAAAAAAACTGAAAAAGCGCGCTTTAATGCGGCTCCGACGCAGTGAGTTTCAAGCCATTTACAAGGGTTCAGCTGCTTCAAAACTGACACTCCATTTTTCAATATTTTTGAATGAAATTCATACAGTATGTTGAGAAGATAATTGCCCAGCGTGCTATAGGAGCACTTTTTGAAATTTCGTTTTTGCACAAGTTTTATGATGGGTTGAAGTGCGTACTTTTTCTGTTCAACTTCGCGATTTTTTTAAAAAGAACCTAGAGAAAAAAATGTAAACTCTATAGCACCTTGCGGGGTTTTGTTTTCAGCACTCTGTGAAAATTTCATCCAAAAATATCAAAAAATAAAGCGTCACTTTCGAAGCGCGCAAACCTCTACAAATCGTATTTTGAACGAATTTTGTCTACTGTTTCGTGCTGCCAACCCAAGCGTTGCGGCGCAATGTACGGACTAAGAAAGGACGTATTCAGATAATTTGGTGGCCCTATTTCGTATAATATCGCGTAGATAAGTCGTTCTGCAAATAGGTACTCATAATCGCGATCGCTGATACTCCTCGATTTTAAAGCCGTTTTACTTCCCACGTCATTAGCGAGGAAGTATTGTAATCGCGAAAAATTTGTGAAATGAGATGTTATGTTTTTTAAGTCATATGACATCTAGATCACGAAAAACTGTATCACTCATCAACTTGGAATTAACCGCTCGGATTTTAATGAAATTTCCACACGGGGTTACTAGTATGCCAAAGCTTTGTAGTTTTAGTCCAGTGGCGACGTTGCTATACAAAAAAGAAAAAGTAATGTAAATCAAAGAGGCCATAAAGGCGTCCTACAAATGTAGGAATGACTGCGGATACGGGCCTAAAAGGTGGAAAACAATTTTTGAAGTGTTTGTTACCGCAACAATGAAATATGACTAATTAATTTGGAATAAAAATTAAGATATGAACAAAAAATTCAATGAAAGTAAAAAATCGTGATATTAAATTTAATAGTACTACTTGTGAAATGACGATAGAAAAGCAGTCATATTTGAAAAAGGAAAAATAAGTGTATTCAGTCAGTGCATTTTACCAAGTGAACAAACAAGGGGTTCTACGAGTATAATGCCAGAACTGAACCACCCTATTATTAGTCTGCTATCCTGACAGTGCCGCGCAACGCGAGTCGGCTCTCCTCATAGGTGCCCCTTCACGATGCACTTTGGTGCAACCTGCACCGAAATAGCAACAAAAAGTTGGCAAAGGCGGTGATGTTCTTGATATGAGAAACACCCCGTTATAATGCTGCTTCCCTGATGATTCCGAGGACGAGCACCCCAAATTGAGACCGTTCTCTTATTTATTGCATGCGTATCGAGAGAGAACAAATTACAGTTTCAACAACTGAATAAATAGTCCAACAATCAAGCATGACTGATTAGCTCATTTGGAATAAACATTAAGATATTATCAAAAAATTCAATCAAAGTAAAAAATCATGGGGTGGTTGATATTAAGTGTTAGAATTACTTTTTTAGTTGTTATTTACAAAATTGCAATTAGGTATTATGGAAATATAGTTAATCGCACCCTACCATTTTTTACTGTACCTAATTGAATTTTTTGTTAATACCTCAATTTTTATTTTCATCTTATTCCAAATTAATTAGCAATACTTGATTGTTGGACTTTCTATTAAAGTAACACATTATTATGTTTTTAGTTAGATTTGCTATTAAAGCGTGTTTTTTAGTTTTTTAAACTTTAATTTATTTTCTGAATTTATAGATTTATCGACAACAACAAAAGTACCTATAATCAAGAGCTTCGATTTTTGGAATATCTTGTATGTGACAATAAATCTAAATTTACAATTTTTTCAAATATCGTAATTTCCAAAATACTTCCAAAATTTACAAATCTTTTTAAAATCTCCAAATCTTCAAATTATTTTCTAAACGTTCCAATTATTTTCTAAATTTTCAAATAAATTTGTTTCTTTTTTTTTCAATTTTCAATTTTGATTTTTTTCCAAGATTATTGAATTGTCAACTGCTTTCGACCCCTGTATTCCTTTTCAACCTAATCAGACTTCTTGAAATTGGTGAACATTTATTCGAAAGATTCCCTTACCTACATCAGGGTAATAAAAGCATGTCATAAAGTAGTAGACAAAGCTGGGTGATACTCTAGGTACAAGAAACACCCCCTTTCAATGCTGCTTCCCTGATGATTCGGAGGACGAGTAAATGCATCCCAAATCGAGACCCTTCACTGCACCGAGCGCGTACCGAGAGAGAACAAAAAAAAAACGTAAAGGTGGTGGTGGTTCAGGTACAAAAAATAACCCTACAACATTTTTGCTGTACTGATGTTTCCTAGGACAAGCAAACGCACCCCAAATTGAGACCCTTCGACCCTTAAGTGTACCGGACGCGTACCGAGAGAGAACAAAAGGAAAGAAAAGCGGGTGGTGGTTCAGGTACAGAAAATAAACCTACTACAATTCTGCTGTCCTGATAATGATGCTCGATGTGAGTCGACGCACCACAGTTAAGCCCTATCGAAATAAAAGAGCGCCCTAGACCTTACGTCGTGGATACTATCCACTGGATAGAGGACAGTTGCTATGGTTTCATTCGTTGTGCTATTGAAATGTCAAAAAGCACGAAACCTATTCATGGTCGGACGGGCGAAAGATGCATGTTTAAGTTAGACCCTCTGAGAAAAAGTTATTTACGAACATGTATAACAGAGAAATTACACGGATCAAGCCCGTCAAACAGGTCCACAGATACTTCTTCGCTGCCCTACCCGCAGTAACGTCCATCTGACAACGTCGCATCTCGCCAATACCTGATCGTACGATGCGATAGCGCGGCGGAGGACACTTATGCCCGCTACATACGTAACGATATATCGTAGCGATTTCAGACTGTGCAGTTAAATCGAAATACCTTAGCGTCTCCACACGCCACCGATATCTGCGTCGATCTTCAGTTCTCCGCAGAAGTTCACGCAAGAAACATGTCATCCATGATGGAAGATGATGACGCACTAGCGTTATTGGGCCTGGTTATGTTTTTAAAGAAAAAAAAAGTAGCGGAGTGTGTGGTGCAAAGACAAAAAGTTAAGGTCAGTGTACTCTTGCATGGGATCGACTTCGAAATTGTGAAAAACATCAGCTGTTCCATAGAAAAATTACAATTCAATCAAGCGAAATGCGAGGCAAAACGTATTGGACAGCTGATTTTTTTTCACGACTCCGAAGTTGGTCCTATACAAGGAGTTGCTCGTATACATGAGTACATTGACCTTAACTTTTTCGCGATGATCGAGAGTCACCCTATACAGGACTTTGAAGTTGAGTCATTAATTTTCAGATAATGATTGTAGAAGGAAGATAAACCAAAATATGTGTGTAAAAATAAAAAAAAAATTAAAAAAAAATTTTACCTTGTTTTATAAAGTATCCTCCCGACAAGTATTTCAGTGCGGACCTGTATTTGATCGTGAGGTCCCCTGTGAGGTCTTAGGTCACCTGATTCACAAGCCCGTTGTACTACATTAACAAAGGCACGAGGGGTTGGTTGCACTCGATTGGGAAACCGATCCGTATAAACATGTGCCATTTTTTATTTCGTTTGAGCCACGCAACAGGCACCACTATTCACACGCGTTACCGACTGACACTGACTGTATGTATACAACTGAATAAAATAATTGTAAAAACATCGTTCCAAATTCTTTCGCTTTTTTGTTCCCGATGCGATGTACCGATAAGGCGGATTATATCCGTTGTTGCCAAACATGAGCACATGATATTATTATTGAGACAGGGCGGTACTCAAACTTCCAAAGGGCTATAACTATGTTACTTTAATTTTACCAGAAAAATGGTAAAGGAAAAAAACATTTCTTTTGATCAGATCTACTAACTGTTAAAATAAATGACTCAACTTCGAAGTCACCCTATAACCCAATAATGACGCGCTAAGCTTTGATTATTTCTTGATTGCGTATTTGGATAAATAGAGTTGCTATGGAAAACGTACTACCTTAATATCAAAAATGCATAAATGTATTTAGCATGTAATAATCACACAATACCTATTGGAATATGTAACAATAAACAATAAATAATTTCTGAGAAATAAAGCCTACCTCATTTTCGTCCTCATCCATGTTCGATATCGATGGTCTCGGTTCCTTCTGATCGTATAAAAAACTTAGCAACTCGAAGAACCATAAGTGAGGAGCATAAATCTCGTCAGTTCCTGCTCCGGATTTATGCGATTTTTTTATTTTATTAAGCTCTTTTTTATATGCATTATTAATCTTCTTAACCACTATGTCCCTGTTGGCATTTGGATCAATGTTTTTGTATTTTTCGACCAGCGTGTGGTAGGCGGCATTTTTTTTGTTGCGATCATGGTGCTCCTTAGATTTTGTCCGCCAAATACGATAAAACTGTGCAAACGCGATCGACAACGATTTATCTTATAGAAATTGTAACTGCCGCCATGAACGATAAATCTGCAATGATTTTTCGTACACACGATCGATAAATCTGCGCAAATCGGTTTGATTTGATGAATCGCTACGATATATCGTTACGTATGTAGCGGGCATTATGAAGACAGGCACGCCAGCCGGTGAAGCCGGACAGCAGACGCAGGGTCACGTGTGCAAAACATTTCTCTACCATTCTAGCTTTCTAGTTTCAAGGGCAAATGTATGGGAAAACCTATGCGAAATATGTCTAATCGGTGAGTAAAATTATCAGGATCTGAAATGTGTTAATATACTAACATCAAAAAGTTGCGATATTCCTTGAAGATGACCTGAACCGTCAAAATTATGGTTTGAGCGATTTTTATTATCCTCGTGTTTTTGTTACTACCTCTGCCGCCACGGAACCGATTCTCAAAAGCTAAAAAGCTGTTTCGCAATTGGGATAGTATTAACATTGTATGAAAATTTCATCCAGATCCGAGCGGTATTTTTCAAGTTATAGACGGCCCAAGGATTTGCAAACAAACCGACGGGAACGAATGACATGGTTTTTCAACATACAGCATCCAAAAAACTTTTTCTTACTACTTTGATCACTTACTAGTAATTTGAATTTCTCTTTATTAATGGCAGAGTGCCTATTCCTAGGCCAAACCCTTTCCAATGATTTTCTTTTGGTAAATTTCATAGTTTATTGATTGTATTATTTCACACGCATTATATCTTTCTTTCTCAGAGAGTGTTTCGTATCAGTCACTATCCTCCTGAGATTGTGGTGTGTGAACTCCAGATTCTGGGGTATTAGGTGCCGAACACCAGTTTGTGGAGTAGCACCTTACGTTTAGTTGTTTTGGTTTGGTTTTGTTCACATCAGGGATTTTTTGCTAAGGGGAATGGGTGGCTTCCGGCAATATGAGCCCGTAAGAAAATGGACGGTGTAGCACCCAAACCAAAACATCTACAATATGAAGAGGAACTACTCCACAAACTGGTGTTCAGCACCTAATATCCCAGAATCTGGAACTTAAACAAATGGCGCTCACACCACAATCTCAGTGACTGACACGAAACACCTAACTTTATAAAGGAAGGTTCAATGAGTGGCCCTGAAGAAGATCTGGAAGAAATAATGAAGAAAACCCACAGAGTTTTATTTTCAACACAATACTGAATCACTGAGAAAGGAAGATATAATGCGTGTGAAATTATACAATCAATAAACTATGAAATTTACCAAAAGAAAATCATTGGAAAGGGTTTGGAATAGGAATGAGCACTCTACCATTAATAAAGAGAAATTAAAATTACTAGTAAGTGATAAAAATAGTAAAAAAATGTTACGTGATTTTGGCACGTGACACATTTTCGAAATTTTCCCCGATTACAACACATCCTTTCCAGTAGGCGTGGACGGTAATAACAAAAAAGATAAAAGCGGCAGTCGGTAGTATCAGACAGTCTGTTATTCACGACCCCCTGTTGGATAAGGCTTTGAATGGAAAAAAGAAAAACGATTGACCCAATAAAAATATTTGGTTACTACATCCAAGAACGATAGCTTAATGAATGTCGATTGGCACTCTGAAACAATTAACTACACTCTTAAGTTGACATAAACTCGAAATACTTGAAAAAAGTTTGATGGCGAACTGCTAGCTAGCAACAAAGAAATAAGGTAAAAGCGAATATCCACTTGAGAGATTCTACAGAAGTCGAGTCCTAAAATATGGCAAAGCGAAGTTTTTTTCTGTTTCCAGTGCAAACCTCTATGTCCTTATACCGATTCTAGAAAATGTAGCAGCAATAACAATTATTCCAAAACACATCTTTTCCGAATATTATCGGAATCAATTCAGCGTCGCCAAGGTCAGATGGGAATCATTGTAAGTTTATGCCGAAACTTATTCTTGTGTTTGACAACGGAACTCACAGTCATCATCTTCGTCAGAGTCTTCATCTTCAGTGTCGGCAACTTCCCAACCCGGATTCTGCATCAGCCACTCTTGCAGTTGACTTAGCATCGGTGCATCATCTCCGGTTAGTTTCTTCCCCGTGGTGATTTCTATCACGCTGATCGGCCTGTCAGAGCCTTGAGAGCCATCATCATCTTCCGGGAGTCCGTCCGGACCAATCCTTCTCCTTTTCTTCTGAAAAGTATCAAACGTAATAAATAGTCCACGCTTCGAGTGAGATGGAGATAAGGTCACGGGTTGGGAAATTGACTTAAGCAGGCTTTTGTGGATTTATTTGCTTGGTACAGGAGTTATTTAATATACTAAGTGACATACACCGAACACCCAGTTTAAATGGTTTTATTTTAATAAAAGTTGGTGAATGTTTTTTTTTTATACTCCAACTACCACGAAGGCCTAAGGCCTAAGCACCCATTGTGTACCGTGGAGCTATAGGGGGATACATGGGAAAGGGGGAACGCCACACAGACTCTGGCGAGGGAACACGTGTACATGCAACATGCACACATTCTGGCTCCGCCTACGAGATCCGCCGGGTGGTACCTCCGCGTTCGACAGTCAGAGACCGTCTACCACCTACGGACAATCACGACATCCATAGCCAAGAGAAAAATTTCTCCTGGGACGGGACTCGAACCCGCACAGCGCACGGCGACTGATCAGGAGACCGAAGAGTCTACCATTGCGGCCACCGCTGCTGCCTAATTTCAATAGAAAAGAAGAAGGCCTTGCTTTAAACAAAACGTGGTGCCCGATTCTAAAAAACACAGCGCAAAAGCCACGTCACTCAAGAGACCCGGAGTACCCCCACCAGACAAGTCAGTCTTCAGTACGCCGATCGCCTATAAAACCGCACGCTCATCCAGTTAACCGATTAGTTTCAGCCGACCCGCCAAGCCGAACAGTTCGTTCTCGCCGACAGCGCCACTGAAAATGGCTACCGCAGACGTAGCCGAAAGCTATGGACCAAATCCAACACGACCACGGCTTACATTAGAATTAGCCTTGAACGCCTTCATTCTTCGATTTGTTATCTGTTATATTGATAGTGAAGATGGCTTTGTGCTCACTACCCTATGGGCATTTGAGTCAAAGAAAACGACCTTTCCACCATGAAGAAATGGACGAGAGTTCATTAGTTTCGATGAAAATATGGTTAAATATTTATTATTATATATTATTAAATTTATCTTATTGTAAATAACAAGTGAAAACATTTTCAGCCTTATCAGTTGGGCATTCCGGTTTTTATACTGCTTTTTTTTTAATTCACTAATGCTCTAAAAATGAATATTTCAGCCGCAGTAAAGAATCAACGTTGGCGGATTTTGGTTCTTGACATCCTTTACGATCGGTTACGATGCCTAGAGTACGGAGACCTGTACGATTTCGTCAACTTAGTGAGTTTGATAGGGGCCGTATAGTGGGACTTCGGGAAGCTGGACTTTCTTTTCGGGCAATTGCAGTTAGAGTGCAAAGAAGTGTAGACACTGTGGTTAGATGTTGTCAGGCATGGCTTCGAGAAGGCCGTACGCAAAGAGCAAGGGGCACTGGACGCCGCCGTAGTACAACAGACCGTGAAGATCGCCGCCTAAGACTATTGGCCTTAAGGGACCGTTTCTCCACTACCAGGTCCATTGCAAATGAATGGTTTGCAGAACACGGAAGACCTATTGGCATGCGAAGCGTTTACCGACGAATGAGAAGTTTTGGTTTGTTTTCATACCGGCCACACTGGGTCCTCCCTTTAACTCGAGAACACCGACGTAATCGCCTTGAGTGGTGCAGAAAACGGTCACTCTGGGATCTGGAATGGAACAGTATTGTCTTTAGTGACGAGTCTCGATTTTGCTTAGGCATGCACGATGGTCGTGCCAGGGTTAGAAGGCGACGTGGTGAAAGGAGGAAACCACAGTTTTTTGTTGAAAGACATGTTCATCACACTGTTGGAGTTATGGTTTGTGGTGCTATAGCTTATGGTTCCAGGTCACCTTTAATCTTCATCAGAGGTAACATGAACGCGCAGCGTTATATCCACGAAGTTCTAGAACCCCATCTTTTACCCTATCTTGACACCCTGGCAGATCCAACTTTCCAACAAGATAATGCCCGACCACATGTTGCAAGAGTCACAATAGACTTCTTTCAACATAATGATGTCACATTGTTACCATGGCCACCAAGATCTCCCGACTTATCCCCAATTGAGCACGTGTGGGATATGATGGGTAGGAGATTGCTCAATTTGCAACGTTCTCCTCAGACTCTAGAAGCACTTCGAGAGGAGTTGGTGGTTGCCTGGAATGAGATACCACAGGAGGACATTGACCACCTGATCAGAAGCATGCCTAGGCGCGTTGGAGAATGCGTAGCACATCAGGGTGCATCCACACATTATTAAAGGTCAAAGGGCTTTAAAGTAGTGCAATCATTTTGAAATTTTTATCATTTACTTATTATGCTTCATTAAGTACTTATACAAAATTTTATTAAAATAAAACCATTTAAACTGGGTGTTCAGATTTATATGTCACTTGGTATAATAATAATAGACGTCTTTATTTCTTTTCAACATTGTAATGCAGCTAAGGTTAGTCTTAAATGGGGAAATTTAGCATTAGCTAGTCTTACATTAACCATAAAAGTCAATACCATTATTCACAACAAATTTAAATTTCTAGCAATAAATTATTACAATAAAGCGAGAACTTTCCAAAGTACACTAAAAAGTAGAAAATCAAAAAAGTTTGGGAAAGTAAAAAAAGCATGAATGTGTAATCAAGTCATTGAATGATAATTGCACTTTTTTTCGGAAAGCTGGTACTAAGTATTGCTTATACAATTGTGGTGAAGAATTATATACAGTTTGCTCATTTGCAAACTGCCCACCACGGATTTATCGAAAACGACTGATTAAAAGAAAAACACGCCGAGACACGTCAGAAGGTTTGTGAAGAGAGACAACTTTTTAACCATGAACTACTTCACCCCCTATCACCCTCGGCGCAGGGTCATTTCCTCAAAATTTTTAAATGAAAAGAGATATCGAGTAATAGCTTATTTGAAAGTACTTTTAAAATCCTTTATTTCGATGCTTGATTTTTTTTAATCAGTCCATTCGTTTTCGAGAAAATTTTTATTTATCTTAATTTAAATTAAATTCTTTCTTTCCTTTACCAACAAACAACTTAACAGGTATAACAATAAGAACAGTTCGCCCAGGATATCTGTACTGAAAAAAGACGCGGAAACTCGGGTTGTTATTTAGTTGTTACCACGCCTAATCTTCCGAATCGCTGTTTGTGTTGGTAGTTTCCGTTTTAACTTATAAACACATTGTATATTTGGCAAACCCTAATGGGCAACATTTTGAACACTCATTGAAATAAAAAGTGATATTTTCGTGTGTCTGAACAAATTAAGATAAATGAAGATATTTATAATTTTCTAGAAAACAAATCGACTGATTTTAAAAATCAAACATCAAAACAAAGGACTTGGAAAGACCTTTCAAACAAGCTATTACTCTATACCCCTTGTCATTTAAAATGTTTAAGCGAATGACCCTGGGGGCCGAGAGTGAATTGGGGCGAGGTAGTTTTTGGTTAAAAAGTCAAATCTTTTGACGTGTCTCGGCGTTTTTCCTCTTAGTCAGTGATTTTCGATAAATCCGTGGTGGGAATCTTTCACCCTGTATGTATGAGGTTCGGAGTAGGTCAAATTTAGATTTACTGCTCAAAAAGTGTCAAAAACCGGTGAAAAAAAGGATTTCCTTGGCGATTTTCCGGGCAGAAATTGATGATCTTGAGAGTTAATCTAACAAGAACGCAAGGAAACACTTATATACAATAAGTTACCTAAATAAATTCGATAAAAAAATCAAGAAAATACATTTTTTTTTTCTTGAACCGTAAGTTTCACAAAATCACGGTTACGTAGGATGCAACGGTATAGCGTCGGTAATTTTTTCGAAAATGCCTATGCAAAATTGAGCCCGTAACAAAATATCTTCGAAAAAACACGTATTTGAGATTAAGGGCTCCTAGGAGCCACCCTTGATTTGAAAATTTGACTGAGATGGATTCACCCAATATACCTTTGAGGATAATTATCATATCTAGTTTTGTCTACAGCCTTTATCTCTATTTATCTCGCAAACGGTTGGCCGTTTAGAATAATAATAATTTATTCACATCAATTACACCTTGAATGTGGATATCATACTAACACGACATACATAATATCACATAGCAGTTATAATAAACTCATAGAACAAAAAAACATTCTGTATAACCGTAATATGTACATTAATTTTGGAACGTAGACTAAAAATGAAGAAAAGATATGTGTTAGTTTTTTATAAATTACATCATGTTTATATCAGTTTTCAAAAGCCACTCGTATACATCTATTTTTAATACTGATATTCTGTTTTTTCTAATATATGTTGGTGAGTTATATTATTATGATAATTTTGGACCTAAGTAGATTTCAGCATTTTTTTTTTGTGTTGCAATAATTATTTGTTTTCATTTTTAGTATCATATTAATAATTTTTATAAACGGTTGAATGTCTGTTTTTATGGAATTCTAGTATAACATTATATCAAAACAATTTCTTTATATCTAAAAGTTTCGATATAGCTATGACTTATTATGAAATTTTTTTTGTAGACTTTCTGCTCTTATATTATCATAACCTGGCGTTTTTTTTTAAGTTTATTATAGTTATAACTTCGTTGTCATCAGTATTCATTAAGGAGAATGAATTTGTGTGGTGTGTATTTTTTCTGTAGAGACTCACTATACGTTGGGCCTTTTTGAATTTTATTCCCGAGTGTCCCACCTATATTAAAAAAATATTTTACAAATCTGTTTACGATTTCTACTTTTGGTATATAAATTCTAGTAGTTCAAATGGAATAACTTTGCATATGATACTACTATGTATACCTGAAATTGATGTGTACTTAACGCATATTATCAACTGCTGTTTAGAGAGGGGATATTTCCCCAATCAGTGGATACGCGCCATAGTTATTCCGCTACCTAACTAACTATGGTCAACTGAGACCGATCAGTCTACTGCCAATTTTTTCTAAAGTATTGGAACGCGTCTACTTATATTCTAACAAAATTATTCCATCTAAACAATCTGGATTTCGACAAGGTCATAATACAGCTTCGGCACTCTGTGATTTAACAGACAATACGTATAATAATGGCTCTTGATAACCAAAAAGCAGTAGCTCTCATACTTCTTGATTTTACTAAAGCATTTGACACCATTAGTCACTCACTTCTTGTCTTTATTACAGATGTTCTGAAAAACCTCTTTCGTTTATTCAAACCTACCTTGAAAATCGGTATGAAAAAGTTCGTCTAAATCAACAGTACTCTACCGAACAAAAAATTTGTTCTGGTGTACCACAGGGATCAGTCTTAGGACCCCTATTATTTTTATTATATATCTCAGATTTAGAAAGAGGTAAAATCATGCAGTATACAATTTTTTGCAGACGATACTCAAATTTTCTATTCATTTAGGAGTAATGACTTGGAAACAGCAAATAATAAAATTAATCAAGAACTTGCCCAAATTGAAAAGTTCAATAGTAGTCATAATCTTCGTTTGAACCCTTTGAAGACAAATATGTTGGTATACGCAAATAGAACAAAAAAGAATACTATAAAAAAGGACATAGACGTACATTTAAAAGGTAATAAATTAGTTCCTGTGGATCATTCGAAGAACCTAGGTATTATAATGGATGATGATTTAAAATTTGTGGTACACGTAAACTATCTAATTTCTCAATTCTACGCTATTCTCAGAGCTTTATTTGCAAATAAGGCTATATTTCATAAATCTGCGAGAAAGCAATTGTGTGAATCTTTCTTGTTTTCAAGGATATAGTATTGTTTAGTGGTTTACTAGCCCTATTTAGATATTATAACAGGAAATCGTGTTCAAAGTAGTATTATGAATACATGTTGCAGACTTGTCGAATGCCATTAATGAACTCAAATGGATGACAATTGATAAAATGTATAAGTACCAGCTCCCAAATCTGACTCATAACGTTCTTTATTCAAAAACACCGTCATATTCAGTAAACAAATTCATACGTAGAGGGAATATGCATGGCATTAATATTAGATATAGATAGATTTTTTCAATTCCTCGCCACAGCATATCTCTATTTCAGAATACATATATTTACAATGCGATCAAATCATATAATTCTTTAGACCGCAGTTTAAAAGAAACCAATCCATTACCCAAATTCAAGAAAAAAGTGAAAGTTCTACCTGATCAGCAGCGAAATCTGTTGTAAGTGGCTTCATAAATTTTCCTTATGCGTTTACTTAGATTATACTTTATTCTGTCGTTATTGTATACAGGTATTAATTTTCAACAAATTCTGTTTTTTTACATATCGTAGTGTTAAGGGGGTTAGAGGGTAGAATAGCTATATTATCTAAATCTCGCCTCCTGTAGGAATATTACAAATAAAAGGCGTTAATTATTATTAATTATTATATGTTTTTCTTCATCTTTCATAAAGTTAATTGTGGTATCTTTCTTTTTTGCTTCCTTTTCTTGCAAGGCATTCCATAGTGATGTTAAATTGTTTCAATTTTCACTAATCTTTTTTTAAATATAATCTGTTTTGGCTTTTTTGATTTTTTAGTTAGATTATTTCTAGTTTTTTATAATTATTTATATTTTCTATTATAGGGTTATTAATCATTGTTTTATACATTTTGTCTTTCTATTTCATTTCTTTCAGAATGTCATTGTTAATCCATTTTTTCTTTTAAAACTGCACCTTTTTAGTTTAATTTTATTAGTGCTTATATTAACATAATATTGAATTTTTTGCTTGAAGGTATAGGTATCTACCTAAGTCTATGTTTCCAGCATTTAATATATCAAACCATCTTTCGTTAGTCATGTTGTTTATTAGTTTTGTTTTATCTAAATAATATTTATAATGGCTAGTGTTTCGTGTGTTAAGGTTTTTATTATTTATAGTGGAGAAATGATCAGTTATGTTAGTTTCCAAAAGAATTGGTATATAACTGAATTTTTCTTCTCTAATAAAGATATGTCAAGATAGATTTAGAGGTACCTTGTATTCGTGTCGCAGTGTTCATATAAGAAACGATAATTCACCCTCCTGTAAATTAATTTCCCGACCCTGGTCTCCTCTTGTATTTTTTTTAAATATATGTATCTGTTGATAATTACGATATTAAAGTTGTCTGACAAGCAAAAACAATAATTTGTGTTGCTGCAAAAAGTAGTAGCAGATACTTGAAGCCTTTCAAATGAATTAAGTGTACGTATACTCAAAGTACAGGGTCTTAAACAAACCTTCTTTCGCTTTTCCTCTTCTTGTTGCTTTCTCTTTTGTTCTAATTTGTGTTGTTTCACCATTTCCGTCAGATTGCTGATATACTCGTCAGTCTGTGACAGCAAGAAAGCCAATCGTTTGTCTTTCTTTTGATCGATCAACTTTCTATAACCTTCTTCATCCTCGGCCATCAATCTAAAAAGACACAGCATTGCATGATTTTAGTATACGTGTCGGTATGACAATAATTTCAGAAACACTTAACGACTCGGGAAGAGATTACAAAAGAAGCGTAGTACACGAAGCGTGGTTCATCTCTGAAAGTTCATCCGATTGATGTACTTTTGCTAGTGTCCAAAATAGCCGATGTAATGAAAGTACGTCCATACTGCTCAAAACATTTGAAATATGTGTTTAATCTAAAAAATGTCTCGGGGTATTTTCATGAAATTAGGAATAGATCGGAATCAAGTTCAAAGTAGCTCGATGATATCTGTTAAGATTTTTAATAGAGTGCAAATTTACTTGGCCAGGAGGAGATTTTTAAATCCATTTTGCTTTGGACATGTTTTGCCTTCAGTTTCTCATACCTTCTCATTCGCTCCTTTTCTATTCTCTCCTGTTCTTTCTTTTGCTCTCTCTCGGCGTTTGCGTGGTAATTCATGACAGCCTTGTTTAGTCTAGCAAGTTTCGCCTGGTTGTTTCTGTGGAAGTCTTTGAAGTCTTTCCCGTGTTGCAGCACCGAACTCAAGAACTCTTGGTGTTTCTGACGTTTCTTGCGTTCGGCCTCCATTTTTTGTTGCTTTTCTAATTTTTCAGTCGCTCTGAAAGAAAATTAAATTATGTAATGGACCTATTTCCACGATTTTCACATATCGGACCCTTGCATGGCATATACTTCGAAGTTGAGTCATTTATTTTAACAGTGAGTAGATCTGATCAACAGAAATGTGTTTTTCCTTTAACATTTTTGTGCTAAAATTAAAGTAACAAAGTTATAGCCCTTTAGAAGTTTGAGTACCGCCCTGTCTCAATAATAATATTATGTGCTCGTGTTCGGCGACAACGGATATACTCTGCCTTATCGGTTCATCGCATCGGAAACAAAAAAGCGAAAGAATTTGAAACGCTGATCACGATGTTTTTATTCAGTCTGTGTCAGTCGGTAACGCGTGAGTGAATAGTGGTGTTTGCTGCGTGGCTCAAACGAAATAAAAAATGGCACATGTTTATGCGGATCGGTTTCCCAATCGAGTGCAACCAACCCCTCGTGCCTTTGTTAATGTAGTACAACGGGCTCGTGAATCAGGTGACTTGAGACCTCACAGGGGACTGCATGTCGGTGCTCCAAGACCTCACGATCAAATACAGGTCCGCACTGAAATACTTGTCGGGAGGATACTTTATAAAACAAGGTAAAACAATTTTTTTAATTTTTTTTTATTTTTACACACATATTTTGGTTTATCTTCCTTCTACAATCATTATCTGAAAATTAATGACTCAACTTCAAAGTCACCCTGTATAGTTACTCCAAGGTGGCACGTCCCTTTTTTAGATTTTTTTTAAAACTTTCTATTTGCAGCAGTATCCTAGATCCTCTTCATCTGATAATTTCATGGTGTGTATAGATATGACTAAAAAACTATGTTTATCATTTTTTTTTGTCAAAAAGCATTCTTCAATCGGAACTTCTTAACAAATACAAGTACGGCCCTGAAATTGTGTGTGAATATTCCTCTTTTATGGAAAAGTGAAACAAGTGATTACTTTGGTCCTTATCACTTTTCTTTTTCAAAAATCTTTGATTTTCTTGAAGATTCGTCTTGCAGCAAGTTGAATTTTCAAGAAAAGCAAAGATTTTTCGATGTTTCATTGATCCATAAAAGTGGAATATTCACATACAATTATAGAGCTGTACTAATGTTTGTTAACAAGTTACGATCGAAGAAAAAATCCACAATAAAATGCACAAAATATTCATTTTATGACAAAACAAAATTAAAAATGATGTTTTTTAGTTATCTCTATACAGGGGCCTTAAGTTCTGCTGAGTTGCAGAACTGCCACAACTTTTGTCTTAACAGAAAAAAGCAGTAGTAATTTGATCATTAATTTTTCATGTTATCACACAAATAGAAACAATACCGGCCACGCTGCCCCCGCAAGACACGGCGTCGAGTCTGTTTTGTACTAAGAAAGCATTATAATCGACCAATTGTGTACTTGTCATTGTCGTCGCGACCGCAGCGTATCATTGTTCATGGGCCACTTGAAAAGGGTCTGTGCACTACTTCGACACAAGCCGCAAGCGCTTGCTTTTGTCTCTCTGTACAAAATCAAATGCGCGATCTAAGCATAAGCACGTGCTGCAATTTATGCAGATCCGTACAGATCTAATGCGAAGTACGATATCTGATTGGTCGGTCGGTGCTGGGTCCTCGGTATTGGCATATACCTTGTCGCGTCGAAGTTTGAATGCGAACAATTTTTATTCAGGTATTTTGGGTCTTACGTTGAGTGCCTAGTGACCCACGGACTGACTGTAGCTGTGTAGCTGAGCTGATGGCAAGTTGGAAACTACCTGCTTGGCTTATCCCGAATTAGAAAAAAGTCGTTTAAAGACAGAGTTGTCTGTTATTTATGCGCGGAATGATTGCCAAGATTTACATGGAACTGTCTCTTTTGAAATTTTTGATACAAAACAGTTTGGAGGAAACACTAAAAGAAACAAAAAAGCTATTAGAAACTATTGTTACAACTCCTATGTCAACATCAGAGGCTGAGCGAAATTTCTCAACATTGAAAAGAATCAAGACCTTTCTTCGAAATACTATGACTCAGGATCGCCTTATAGCGTTGTCGATGCTGTCCATTGAAAAGGAATTTATTTCGACCATGGAAAATTTCAACGGGAAGGTGATCGACAAATTTAGGTAAGTTCGGATTTGCAGAACACCTGTTTTATTTTGTCACGAGCCGCCACTGTCTCTATATACATCATGAAGTAATCAGGAGAAGAGGATTTAGAATACTGTGGCAAACAGGTCGTTGAAAAAAAAAACGAAAAAAGGGACCGCCTTAATGCCGATTTCTTGCGGTACTGCTAAAAACGTAATCGAAAATGGGTACCGTCGATTGGGGTGACATTGATCTCAAGGGGCGAGTTTGATCACCAGATCATTTTCTCAAAAGTTTGAGTTTAGCGCCAGAACTAGCGAACCACTCACAGCGAAAGATAGTGCGTGCATGAGAGGAAACATTGAAGGTGTCGGTTTTGGGGCATGGAGTAACAATCTGGAAATTTGCCAGGTAAGTTAAAGTGCTGATCTCTATTTTTGTTTACGTCATACTAGGCATGTTTGTTGATATTTTGAGGTTATGGTGTAGTCGAGCGGGAATGAACAGTGCAGTGCTTTTCATAATATTGAGATATTTAATGGGTGGGGTCAGATTGTTCGCCTAGACGGGGCGAGCTTGATCAATTTTCAGTGATCAATCACACCCCATCTAACAATATATGTATACGTACATTTATTTTCGTATTGTTAATGGAATTATGATTAGATTTAGCTATAGTTTTATTGTTTCTTACAGTTGAAGGGTCCAAATCATGCCGAGGAATTATAAAAGAACACTTGGATCACGCCGTTATGTCGATTATGCCCCAGAGACCCTAGAAGCTGCTCTCAAAAAGGTGGTAGAAGATGGATGGTCCCTCCGTCAAGCATCGGCTACACATAATATCCTTTTGGCACACTTCGAAGTAAGTATAAGGGAATCAGAATTCTGAAATCTGGAGGTCTAACAGTTCTTTCAGCTGCCGAAGAACATGCCTTCGTAAAAGCAGTAAATATCTGCTCAGATTGGGGGTTCCCACTCACGCTGGTTTGCGCTATATAGCTAAAATCTATCTTGATAGTCGCGGTCGCATTATTGGGAAGTTTAGAGCAAACATGCCTGGAACAGATTGGGCTCGTTCTTTTTTACAACGACATAAGAAAGATATTAGCCAAAAAGTTGCATCGAACATCAAGTGAGCTCGGGCTAATGTTTCAAGGGAAGATATCGTCCAATATTTCGAAAATTTGAGTGAAACATTAAAGGATATCCCAGCTTGTAATATATTCAACTACGATGAAACAAATGTGCAGGATGATCCCGGAAAACAAAAGATGCTGTTTCGGCGTGATACAAAATACCTTGAAAGGATATGCAACTTTACCAAAACTGCTACTACCATAATGATGTGCGGGTCGGCTTCTGGTGTGCTGCTTCCACCATACGTTATATATAAGGCTGAGAAAATGTGGAAGCAGTGGATTGAGCTCGGTCCCAAGGGCGAGCCTTGCTGCAACAATAGATGCCTCAGTGTAGGATCGCGATATAATCGAACCCAACATGGATGGATGGATGCTCAAATGTTTACAGATTGGTTTGAATCAGCTTTTCTTCCTCATGCAAAAACTCTTCCTGGTCGGAAAGTGTTAATTGGAGACAACCTGCCGGCAGTGTAGTAGAGAAAACAATGTTGCTTTCATTTGCCTCCCAAAATGTTCGACCAATCTCACTCACCCATTAGATGTCGGATTCTTTCGCCCTTTCAAGATAGTTTGGAGGTCTTCCCTAACAAAATGGAAGAAAGCTCATCCCCATCAGTCTACTCTAGATAAAAAGGATTTTCCCATTGAATTAGCTTCTACCCTTGTAGAAATAAGCCAAAAACATGAGAATGCTATAAAGGAAGACCTGATAAGCTCAATTCGTGCAACTGGTATAGCTCCTCTGGATGCTGAACGAATTCTGCGAAAAATTACAAGCCAAACGACTGATACGAATACTGAAGACTCGCTGGGCAACGTTCTTGTGGAATATCTGCAACAGCAGCGTTTTACGGTAGGACCATCAAGAAGAAATATGAGGCGTCGAAAGCTTTCGGTAGAGCCTGGAAAAAGTGTTCCAGATGAAGAATCCAGTGACTCAGAAACGAACGACGATCCTCAAACTAATGATAGCTCTAGTGAAAACTTATTAGAAACCATCACCGAACTGAAAACTAAATACTTTGAACCAACAGAAATAGATATACTTCCTGGCAATTTTCTTCTAGTTAAAGTATGTGGTGGATCTAGAAAAAAAAACAGTTTATCGATATGTTGCCATGGTGCAAAATGTGACCGAGAGTCAAAATGTTCGAGAATTCGAGGTGTTGGGATTAAAGTCTGTAGATGGATCTAAGAATAAATTTAAAGCTCCAGATGGCGACGAATTTCTAGTGGATTTTCCAGACATAGTAGCTGTGTTACCGGATCCTGTCGTGGAAAATCCAGACGGGCTTATCACCTATCGTTTTGAAAATATGATAGATATACTCGAAATGTAGTTTTTCTTTTTTATATTCTACCTCAACTGTTAGGAGACTTATTTAAGTTATTTGTATTAGTTATAGATATGGGCAAGCACCTATTTCAAAATGTGAAAATATTTTTTGTGAGGTATCTGGAAAAATAAAGGTTGTTTATCAACCAAATAGGTGTTTTTGGCCCTTATTTACTGGAACACGTACAATAAAATACAGTTGATCAATCTCACCTATAGCGAACAATCTCACCCCACCTACATTAAAATGCTGTAACTCTGTAACCAGTTGAAATATAATAACCAGAGTTGAGGTTATTCATTTAGGAGCCTGTACCCTCATTTTAAATGCAATTGATACTATGTGAACAATCTCGCCCCTTCTTTGCATCTGCTGTGCCATTCTTACCCATAATATGTATCAGATTCGATCATTATAGCCGAATAAAATTTTAACACAAAGAAAATAATGCGAAAAATTTTAATATTTTGATCAATTTCCCCCCAAATGACGCTATCAACTGTGTTTTTTTTCTCTTATTTTTCAAATTGAGGCTTGATGCTTCTTAATTCCTGCTAAGGCCAAGCAGAACGTAAGTCAGTAAATTAATAAAGTTATTGCAAAAAAACTGTTAATGATGTATCATATCAAAATTACTTACATTTACTTCAAGAACAAACGGACTTCAATGGAGCTATTTTCCTCCTGTAACTACAAAATTATTTTGACTCGTTTTCACTTACCTGGCTTCTTTCAAACCTTGCCGCTTAGTGCGCTTATATTGCTTAGCATTCATAGCCGATTCTAGAATAGTATCTCTTCTGGTACAAGCAATAATTTCGGTCCTCAACTGCCTCTGGAAATTCAGACATCTCAGCGCTCTCAGTTCAATTTGAGCTTGTATTCTAAGTTCTTCAGACATATTTGATGGCAGATTCGTTAGTTGTTCCATCCTAGCTGCGATTCTAGCTGCCACCCTGGAAATACATACATAAAATTTCAACTTAAAAATAATGTATACAGGATGTCCAAAAAACCATGGAAAAAACGAAAGAGGGTGATAGAGGGGGCATTTGCAATCATTGAATCATATACAGGGTGTCCCAGAAGTCGGCGTCAAGCCGAAACCGGGTGATAGTCAAAGTCATAACAGCTATCAGAAAAATATTTAAAAAAATTTTATGTATGTGTTTTGAAAATTATAGGTCTTTGAAAAAGATATAGAAATTTCACACCCTACGGCAGTCTGTCAACTCCTGTTACTACAAATATTAACTTTTATTGGATTTTATTTTTACAATGTAATGAATAATGCATCTTCAACTTTTCTCGTTCGGGAAAAATTGCCACTTATTTCCCAACCAAGTATTCCAAAGTAAAACTTTGCTCAACTTTAACTGGCTGTACTGGAAAAAATGTACTACGAGAGTTTGGCAAGTAACCTTAAAAGTTGGCGCATTTAATAACGATTCTAAAATGGTATAACACTTAGAAGATTACTCGTTAACTTATGCACAATTTTTATTTGAAAAAAAACTCATGAAAATTTTTCTAAATTTCCCAATTAAACAGCGATTATAAAAACGCACAAGGACCCTTAAGGATAACTGTTTGCACAACAGTGGGTGTCAAAATGCTGCTGATGATGATTTACCTTTACAGCAAATGCTCAAACTGTTTTCCTTCAGCCGCAATACGCGCTCGACATCTTAAAAAAGATCGGGTTATTAAACGAGCGAATCCAGGGTTATTAACAAACTCAGCTGCTTCCAATAGTCTTTGCCGTAGAAATACACTTTTTCTTTTAGAGTTCTTCAGTAAAAAAATCTAACGGATTCAAATCAGGTGATCGGGCTGGCCACGGTATTGTACCAGACCGCCTTATCCATCTGCCTGGAAAGTTTTGATCGAGATACTCTCTCACTGAGAGTGCATAGTGCGCTGGGCAGCCATCATGCTGAAACCACATGTCCCTGTAAATACTCAGTGGCACGTCCACCAATAAATTTTGTACATGATTTTTAAAAAAATCCAAATGAACTTCAGCAGTCAAAGTCTCTGGGAACTCAAACGGACCGAATATTTTACCATTTAAAATTCCTGTCCAATGGTTTATCTTGAAGCGATATTGAGATTTATCTTCTCTCATCAAATGTGGGTTTGCTACATGCCACTCGTGTAAGTTATGCAGGTTCATGTACCCATCTTTCTTAAATGTGGTCTCATCCGACCATAAAATTTTTTCAAAGGACTGTGGATCTTTCCTGTGTCTTTCTAACATTGTGCGACAAAAAGCAACTCGGGGCTCATAATCCCGGGGCAGAAGAGCTTGAACACGCTGTACGTGGTATGGATGGAGCCGCAACATGATTTGGGTAATAGAAGGATTATGGAAATCCTGCCATATTACCTGATCAACCGGTTAATAAAAACAGGTAGATAGTATGAACCAACATGGGTACTACAAAAGGGATTTGTGGATAATTCATTTCACTTATGAGCTCGTCGCAGAAGTATCCCCGGTTCTATAATGCATATTTATGTGTGTTTGCTCATACATACCTATTTTCTCTCTCCTGCAAAAGCACCAAAGGATCTACCCCCGCTGGTTTTGGTAAAGACGTGATCCTATTTTGCTTTGAAGTAGGATGATGGTGTTGCTGTTGTTGTTGTGGGGGTGGGGGATGATGGTGGTGAGGCGGAGGAGGATGATGTACGCCTCCTCCGTGACCCATGGGCGGCACCTGCGGGTGTGGTTGGGGGTGGTGCTGACGCATGACCGGAGGTGGGCCCTGCACAATGTCAGATTGAATTTACCAACTAGTCTAATCATATTGGACGAAAATACCCCTGGTTTGTGAAGTAATTGGGAAGTCTGCTTTTATTGCCAAAACATGGACGCAAAAAATGGGTACTCCAATTTTTGTGGGAAAACTTTTTATTAGACAACAAAGAATGAGAAAACGAGTTTTTTGGGATTCAATCGAAAGTGTTGACAGGAACGAAAAAGCTCTTCATACAGGTTTTTAGGTATTTATGAGACCTGCAAAATGAGACCACATGTAAAAAGGCCATTACCGAAAATCGAGGCAGACTGCAGGTTTTGACACTTGTTGGTAATGCGAAGATGGTTTCTCGCAGGTATTTGAAATTCTTCAAATTCGTAGAATTCGAACTTCTAAAATAAGCCCAATGGAAAGTGTTTTCGTTCCTGTCAGCACTTTAGATTGAATCAAAAAAAAACACGTTTTCTCATTCTTTGTTGTCAGATAAAAAGTTTTTATACAAAAATTGTGTACCCATTTTATGCGTCCATATTTTAAATACCCCCTGGAACAAAACCAGACTTCACAACTATTTCGGGGAAATTTGCAATATGATTAGACAAAACGTTTTGAGAGTGTAAATGACCTTTTGAGTTGGGAAGGACATATCAACTATTTATACAGCAGACCTGGGTGATATTCGGATACTCGGTATTCTGAGCCCTACTGGCAGGTATTCGGATACTATTCGAATACATTTCAGTATTCGGTATTTCTTATTTAACTGAATATTTTTTGATCAGTACTTGGGATACTGGTTTCTGAATCCCAATATCCGAATACCCACTTTGTATTCAAATCCCAGTATTCGAATTTCTGTCCGAATACTGTTTAGCTATTTTTAAAATTATTGCGTCAAGCTTTACGAATTTTAAACGTATTGAAACAAGTTTGCGGTGGTTGATTGCTCAAGGAACGAGATTAGGTTACGTATGCACTTGTGGTTCTCCTATCGCATTCAAAAAAAATAATACCTGTTATAATTTGTCTCTTAAACTATCAACCTTATATAAAAAGTGCTAGGGCCACTTTTATGTAGAATCAAAGTTTCCGGAGTTTTGATGCTATACAATTTTACCTCACGGCCAACAGTTTACTGACGGTAACTAAATAAATACCTGATGAGGTTGTTGAGGCATTGGCACCTGTTGCTGTTGAGGAGGTGGACCCACGTTCACTGGAGGCGGTCCTGGGTGCGGTTTATATGGCTGCATTGGTGGCGGTTGTTGCATGTGAGGCTGGTGAAAAATTTAAAAACCTTGTAATCTTAACATACTATATTGCCTTTCTCATTATATTATGGGAATTACCTCGTGTTTAACAAGGAAAAAACAGTAAACCTGTATAGGTCCTCTTAAAATTAATATGTTCTTACCTGAGGTGGCATGTGGACAGGCGGACCTTGAGGGGGTCCGGGTGGTCCCACAGGCTGAGTATTAGGAGAAGGTCTCATCGGCTGAGGTTGAATTGGGCCACTCTCAGACACTGGGGGTTCAGGAGGTTCGCCAGGAGGCATACCAGGCTGAAAAAGAAACATAATTACAATTACAATTACAATTACAATTACAATTACAATTACAATTACAATTACAATTACAATTACAATTACAATTACAATTACAATCGTATTGACCCGCTAGATTACTTTAAAATACTTGTTCTTATGAACGACCCTGATCAGAACTGATTTTCAAAAAATGTTTACCCTCTCCCACCAGGGCCGTCTTTAGGGTGGAGCGGGCTTGAATAACATTCTCTCTGGCATAGATTCAATTAACCCAGCTATTGTGTCTTGGAGCCTTTGCTTACTCTCGTTTACCAGCGCCTGTTCCAAAGCAAACACGGTTTGAAATTCTCCATAGTTCTGCATAAGCCTTCTTTCTAATATATACTACGTGTGCTCAATAGGGTTGAGATCCGGATTCCTTGGCGGCCAGTCTCGTACTTGTATTCCAACATCGTTGAGTCTTTCTGGCTATGTGCGGCCGAGCATTATCTTACATTAGGAGAAAATTTTCTCCTATAAAGGGCATATGCTCTTCCATCCACTCTCTAATGTACCGGTCGGCAGTAAGGTGTCCTCCTCGTAGCGAAACAAGATCTGTGAGGGATTCCAAAAAAATACCGGCCCATACCATCACTCCTCCACCACCAAGATGCACTCTGGGGAGGGGGGGGAAACAACTTTGAGCATAGCGTTCTCCATGCCTTCTCCACACTCTTTGAGGACTGTCTCGTAAAACGAGACTCGTCTGTAAAAAGAACGTTTTCCGAATCTGCATGAGTTCGAAAAAATACCAAGCGCTGCCTTCGATGACCTACATCCAATAGAGGACCTCTAGTAGGTACTCGAGATGATAGGTTTGATTCTCTCAACCTTCGGCGACGGTATCAGGTGAAACTATGGTACCATAAACATCATCCAATCTTCGAGTCAATGCTGTAGCGGTACCTGTCCTTTCTTGAAGAGCTTGAAGTCACAGAAACCGAGCTTCAACTGTGTTTTTTGCTTTCCGTCTTCCCTGTCCAGGTCTTCTTGAGTAAGAACCAGTTTCTCCAAATCTTTGTATCGCATTAAATACCGTACTGCGTGGAATGGCAAGCCTTTCTGCCATATACCGGATAGGACGACCATCATCTTGAAATGCTACAGCTTGCGCTACTTGTTCCGGTGTCGTTTTTGTTGAATATTAATTGACAAGAATCTTTTTGACATGACATAAAAATGCTAACAGTCTACTTGAAACAATTTTTTACCCGGCAAAGACTGATTGAAACAACTTCTTGTTTATTGCTATGAATCGCATGATTTTCTTCAAAACAGCATATATTCTTCAATAATCGAAATATTGACATGGATCCAAAGACGAACTGTTGAGAAAATTTGAGGATCAAAATTCACATACGAAGACACATTACGAGTATTCAGTAATCCAATGTTTCCACAGTGTGTTCAGAAATTTAGAGCCGAAATGCACCTTTTGGTTACACCCTGTATAACAACAAACATTTTCAATGTTTGCAAGATCGACAGTCGATAACGACAACAATGAAATTATCTACAAGTTGACAAAAGATATTACGAAATTGATGCAAGAGTTATTTGAAATTTAATTTGAACAAAATTTTGTTTGTCCGGTTAATTTCGCGTGGAAGTGTACAAATCTACGCGCCTAAAATATCTGACTAACTACTCTTTTAAATTATTGATTAAATACAAAACCCACGAACGAGATAATCGTAGACCAAAATAATGCAAAGCATCGTTTGATAGTGGCGGCGGGGTCACTCCGCGCATGCCGGTGGGTGACTCATGCGCCCTGTTTTGGAGTTGCGTCGCAGTTACTTCAAGAGCTAGTTCAGTTTTTTTTTAGAAATTTAGAGTTGAAAATTTTGTGGCGGTCACATTGATACCAAGAGAACTTACTGAAACTCTGAGTGTAGAGCCAAAGTTAAAAGAACTCAGACAGATAAAGAAAAGAAGAATGTTTGAGTTCGAATGACAAGATGAGTCTGAGTCAGAATCTGCCGAGCAAAAGTTTAAACAATAGATTTTCACTAAGAAATACCAAACAAATAATAGTAAGTGCAAATACGAGGGATGTCTTTTAAGTTTTGCATATAGAAACATAGTAGGCCGGGCGGATCGAACGTCAGTACTGAATCTTAACCTCACTCTTTAGTAAACTTAAATTCAAAGTTTCACAACAATACAGTAAATTTTTAAGTGTCACCAAGTCATTAGAAAAATGGAACTCGCAACAAGAATGCCTTGCTGAGTTACTGTCTGTTTTTGGCAACGAAGCGCCACATCAGTCGACAATTTCCCGTTGTATGGAGAATTCAAACGTGGACGGGTGAGTCTTAGCACACACACACACCCTCCTACCCTGTGCGGTCCCTCCACCACCCCTTGAGGAGTGGGGGGAAGAGCAATCTGCTCCTCCCTCCTCTCCCGCTCGAAGGCCTGGCGTAGCGCTGCGTGGTTCAGGCCGCTGCGCATTCCCCGAGTGTGTGCTGCCGAGCGAGCTAAACCCCCCTCCCCAATTTTGCCCCTTTTTCCCGAAATTTGACTCGATCGCGCACGCGTCGCGGAAGCACGTGGTGGACGTTTCATCCAACTGTCGGTTCTCGACTTTTATGGACGGCCTCTTTCTTGGGGGTCCTGCGCTGGGGGCTTTGACCTAAGCCCCGCAGTCATTTGCTGTTTGTCTTCGTCTCCTGAGGTTAGCCCCGAGTCCGTCCTTGACTCTGCCCACCTCAATCGACAGGCTTCTTTCTGTCCACCCGTTGTACACGCGCTGTTCTTTCCCCTCTTGGGTGTACAACTATTGTCGGTCTTCTCCCCTTTTCTTTGGCTTCATCAGCTGCTAGGGCCAAACTTCTTCTTCTTGTAGCTAGCTTTTCGGCCTTTTATGACGCCTTATTGTTCTTGGGTCGTGATCCAAGGCATCTTTAATCAGCACATTTCGAAGTCTTTCGTTCTTTTCAAACTTTCGGGCCCTCTCTCTCATCTGGATTACGACCGGTACCTGTCGTAGTTCGTCATACAGTACTCTGTTAGGTATATACCACGGTGCGTCCACCGCCTCACGGAGTGCTATGTTTGGTGAGGCTTAGCGACGATCCCTGGGTGGGTGCACCAAAAACGGCAGTCACCCAGGAAAACGTCGATCATCATTGAAGATAGACATGTGACAAATCGCGAGATTGAGGCGTCCTTGAAGATCTCAAACACCTCAATTCAAAAAAATTTACATGAAGAATTAGGAGTAAGAAAATTAGTTTGTCATTGGATACCCCACCTGTTGACTGAAGAGCAGAAAGCAGCTAGGGTTAATTGGTGTCAAAAAACGCTTGACCTTTCCAATTTTATTATTAGTGGTGATGAATCGTGGATTTACTGTTATGAACCAGAAGCAGTTGGCGCATTCAAAAATGCCGTTTTGGATCTGCCAGCAAACGAGTGGAATAAGTGCTTCGGAAATTAGGTGTGTATTAATCTTCGTGGAGAATACTTTGAAAAACAATAAAGTCATTTTAAACTACCTACCTTGTTGTTTTATCTCCATATGCAAAACTTAAAAGAAAGCCCTCGTAATATAAATATTTTATAATAATACGAGCTTATTTATGACTTATTATTTCACTACAAAAAAAATCTCATACTATATTATTTATTTCCTGGCAGACCTAAATTTTAGTATAATTTACCCAGCGACTCAATGTTTAGAAAATTAAAGTGGAAAAATTTAGGCCATAGTCAGAAATCATATTTCTTTATTATTTCAATTTTTTACACCGATTGAAATATTGTATACTTACATCAAAAATAAAAATAGACTCACCAATGGCAAATGAAAACAATTACTAAATAATTGCCGTGTTTTAAGATGAAATGACTTCATTGAAAATGCTAAAAACACGTTTTTGTACGAGAATTTTAAAAACATTTCGGAGTAGACCACATTCTCCAAAAAAAGGCTTCGCAAAAATATTTTGTTTCAGGCCTCGCATCTGCTAAGGACGGCTCTGTCTCCCACTTGAAAATGAATTACCACGACTCCGGCACTGTGAAACAGAATACATTCTAGATATATAGAGCATCTATCTCACGACAGAGTCATACGAATTGCAGTTTATTTATTCACGTTTCACCCTTAAACTAAATCTTAATCATCAACAGCGACAAAAACTTATATTTTGCTTCAATAATAATAATAAAAAATTAAAACTGCACTCAATTTTTACACATCTTGGTATTATTACCTCTTATATTTTCTTTCTATTTTCATCAACATAAAGAAGCACTTATCCGAAATGTTCGTTTAACATAACTGCTGTGATTGGGGAAAAGCAATAAAGCTTGCTAATCTTGTCTACCAACAGCAGCGTCTTAACGTATTCACTCAAGATAGTTCACAATATGCAAAATTCAACTGTACAATGTACCTAGATTCACACCCACAATAATACAGAAAGTAAAAATGTATAATTTCTATACTGGTTCAATCCAAATATCCTACTATTGATTAGCTAATTGTTATATGCTACTCAAATATGCACTCTCCTGATTAAATGGTATGCTTTAAACCACGCGTAGTTATATTCCTATAAATAATAATGGACAAAATTGCAAGAAAGACTATGTTGTACTTACGAATTGCTCTGCAAACATCATTTTTACTGACTGAATATAAAACAATAAATACTGTAGCTAAGGTGGACTATTAAAATAAAACAATAATTTGATAATTTTCATGGTCATACTACAAAATAAATATTCATGGTATCATTGTCAACGACTATTATTAGTAATAAAGCAGCTACATATACGGTTAAATCATTAGAGCTTAACTCATCGAAATACGCATTCGTATACATTTTTGAATTAACCTCTGTTTTAATACGAAGGTGGGTACATAATTACGAGGAAAACGGCATCAAAGGATTGCGTTCAGTTCTTTTAGGTACGGTTTGTTGTGTCAATGTTTAACAACCAAATTATTTATACAGGGTATTTCCAAAACATGGGATTAAATTCAAGGGGCAATTCATTGCCTTTCTAAATTCTAAAAACCGTTTTGTAGTTTGATGATTTTTGAAAAAAAATATTTAAAAGCGATTACCATACAGGGTGGCGCATCGAAAACGAAACAGATGCATTTACTGGCAGCTCAGTCCTTTTTGGAAAAACGCTCAGACCCGTCGGTTTTGTTTTCAAGGGGGTCACAAGTTTGGCAAAAAAACACGTTAACACGTGCAGCCCCCTGGGCGGGGTGACACCAACCCTAAAATGTTAAATGAGAAAGGGGGTCGAGTAATACCTTATTTCAAAGGTCTTCCAATTTCCTTTATAATGATGTAAAATACATGAGCTTCAGTTCAGTAGTTTTGAAGATTTATTGATTTAAAGCTTAAAGTAGACTTTAATAGGTACATCAGATAAGTTTGTACTACTTTCAGAAGAAATTTGACTAAAAGAATTTACTTACTTTTCTTCACTACGCCCATGGTTTGTTTATCATTTTGTTGTTGAAAATAGCTGTTGGAACGTTTTTTTATGACAAAAAAGTTATTTCTTGAAGAAAGATAAGGAAATATCTCGTACTTATTTTAAATAAAAATTAGAAATTAATCATGGTATATTCCACAGTAGAAAGAGTTGAAATTACCGAAATATTTTTCGGAAATAATCAGTGCGCTAATAGAACAACAGAAATACTTGATGAGCGACATGAGAACAGTAACGTGCATCGAAAATATGTTCTAGAACCCGTAGCTAAATTTCGGGAAACTGGGTCAGTCGCCAATAAAAAACGCAACATTGAAAATCCTGTAAGGAACGAAGCAATAGAAGTGGGGGTTTTAGAGCAAGTTTAGGTAGATCCTACGTTAAGTACCCGCAAATTGGAGACTGTGTGTGGTGTTAATCGACGTACTGTCCAACGGATTCTAGAGGCTCATAGTTTTCATCCGTATAATATTCACCTGGTACAAGAACTTAATAAAGACGATTTTGATCGGCGATTACAATTTTGTGAAGATATGAGTGAACGAATTATAAGCGATGAACATTTTCTATTCAACACTTGCTGTTCCGACGAATGTTCCTTTTTCTTAAATGGCGTAGTAAATCGTCATAACTGCCGATATTGGTCCGATTCTAATCCCAGAATTTATCATGAGGTTTATACACAGCAGCCACAAAAATTAAATGTTTGGGCTGGTATTTTTGTCGATCATTTAGTTGGTCCTTTTTTCTTACCTGGAAATTTGACCGATGCAATGTATTTGGAATTACTGGAAGACGCCATAGATTCTGCATTAACAGCCATAATTGAAAACACTGGTCAACAACTTTTTTGTAATTTTTTACTTTAATTGGTGATTGTAAGAAAAAATAAACAGTTAAAAAAAATTTGCTAGACAAGGATTTTATTCTATTGAGTAATTTAAAATATTAAGAAAAAACACAGATCTCGTAAATCAAAAGTTATTTTTTTTATAAATGACTTAATAATCTAAGATTTTCTTGAATATTTAGCTTCTGGTTGGTCCCTTTTAATTGTCCAGCAGTAATCTGCTAACATATTTGGGCTCCATTTGCCCTGGTACCGCTTTTCCATATTAGAAATGTCCTGATGGAACCTCTCACCGTGCTCGTCGCTGACAGCCCCTAAATTGTCAGGAAAAAAATCCAGGTGCGAGTCTAAAAAATGGATCTTAAGTGACATGTTGCAACCCAATGCTTGATATGACAATAATAGCTAGCTAACCAACTCTCTGTAGCTGTCACTCTTCCATGCAGATGTTTCTAAATCGCTTAATTTTTCTTCAAATCTTGAATCTTTTATTAACTTCCTAATTTGAGGGCCAACAAAAATACTCTTTTTTATCTTTGCATCACTTATTTTAGGGAATTTTTCTTTAAGATACAAAAATCCACTCCCATTGCGATCCATTGCCTTCACAAAATTTTTTATTAATATTAATTTGATATGCAATGGTGGTAGAAGCACATTATTTGGCTGTACAAGGGGTAAATACTTTACGTTTTTTTGCCCAGGAACTAACGATGCACGCGTAGGCCATGTTTTTTTTATATAGTGATTAGTTCTGTCTCGGCTATCCCATTCACATAAAAAGCAGCAAAACTTTGTATAACCCAGCTGAAGTCCAAGTAATAGTGCAACAACTTTAAGATCACCGCAGATTTTGAACGAATATGTACTGTAATTTATTTTTTCAAGTAAAAGTTTCATATTTTCATAGGTTTCTTTCATATTTGCAGCATGGGCCAGAGGTACAGACGAAAGCTTATTTCCATTATGCAATAACACTGCTTTTAGACTTGTTTTCGAAGAATCAATGAATAAACGCCACTGAGAGAGATCAAAATCTATGTCCAACATTTTCATAATCTCATTTATGTTATTGCAAAACACCAAATCTCCATCCTGAGAAAAATACGTTCTGAAGTGTTGATCATGGTTTCGAAAATAGCTAACTTTTGTATTATGATGTAGCAAATTCCATTCTTTTAGACGAGATCCTAATAGTTCTGACTGCTTTTTTGACAAATTTAAATCCCGAACCAAATCATTTAGGTCTCCTTGAGTTATCAAATGTGGCTCGTTTACAATTCCTTTTAACTCAAAGTCATCGTCCTCGTCAACACGTTCACCTGAAGTGGACGGTTGTGAATTGTTCTCAACAGACGTAGTTGCAACTGGTATTAGTTCTGGCAATTTTTTACAGTGAGAGACTGGTCTTATAGCCGAAGATAAGTTAGGGTAAATAACTGTGGTTTTTTTCTTGTAATTTATACCTTTTATGTCTGTGAGACAAAAATAGCAATCTGAAACGTGATCTCGCTGTTCAGTCCATATCATGGGTACAGCAAACGGCATAGGTCGTGCACCTTTCTTCCAGTCAGTTAAATTTTTCACACACGTTATGCAACAGACAGGGGCCCAGGATTTGTCTTGATGGGCGACAGAAAAAGCAAAACATTGGTGATAACACTCCAACACAAGATTCGTAAAATTTCGTCGTTGTTTTTTGAATGTTAGTTCTCCGCAGACATAACAAAAAGAGTTAGGATCATTATTACACTTCCTCGACATATTCACAGGGTTAATAAATCACAAAAAAGTGTCCAAATTCAACAACAACTATTTTTATAAGGATTTACTTGTAAGCGTTTCTGTTAATCCGTATCCGTATCACAACAAATATGAGGCTAATAGACATATGACAGCTGTCATGTAATAATGAGGGTAGACTGATAAAACAAAATTAGCTGTCAAAGTTCGTGTGGCTAAACCAGTGTTGACCAGTGAAATCAGAATGATCGGCGGTACATTGCGAATAGGTTGATGTTCCAACAGGATGGTGCCCCACCACATTACGCATTACGTGTTCGACAATATTTAGATCAGACGTTTCCAGATCGATGGATTGGTAGAAGAAGTACCATCGAATGGTCCCCAAGAACGCCAGATTTATCACCTTTGGATTTCTTTATGTGGGGTCATTTAAAAAGCAAAATCTATGCTACTCAGCCAACATCATTAGAAGGCCTGCGACAAAGAATTGTGAATGAGTGCCTTCGAATTACTCCTCAAATATTGCAAAATGTGCGGCAACGTTTTGAGCAAAATCTTTATTATTGCATGGAGAGTCATGGTGGCCATTTTCAGCATTTACTTGCCTAACGGGTCAGTTCATTCTTTATTTTTAAATCACTTTGCTACCAAATGTATTGATCTCCACTAAAGATGATGTATTAGTTTTATTTAAGCTTTAAATCAATAAATCTTCAAAACTACTGAACTGAAGTACATTAATTTTATATCATTATAAAGGGAATTGAAAGACCTTTATAATAAGGTATCACTCGACCCCCCTTTCCATTTAAGATTTTGGGGGTGGTGTCACCCCCGCTTAGAGGGCTGCGCTTGCCAAACTTGTGTCCCCCTCGAAAACAAAATCGACGGGTCTGAGCGTTTTTCCAAAAAAAAACTGAGCTGCCAGTAAATGCGTCTGTTTCGTTTTCGATGCGCCACCCTGTATATCAGGTTTGGTTGCAGCGCGTTTGTTATTTTTTCTGATGAACGTCGACCATTATAAAAATTGCAAAAAATCAAGGGATTAACTTAATTTAATTTCGATTTTTGGGCATGGCTCACAGTTAGTAGCAGTCTTTAATATTTTAGAGGATTCAAACGAAAATGTTTTTGTCTTACTTGATGGTAGCCAGTATTGGGTGGAGGCGGTGATCCATCATCTGGTCGTTTGTTTTGCTGCAAGGCCATCGAAACTTGTGGAGGAATTGGCTGATTTCTTGCCAAGTATCTGTATGCCATGATTTGATTCCTGAAATAAAGCAGATAAAAAAATGACGCGATAAACTTTATATAAACATATGTCCCGAAGGCCCGATTTAACTAAGCC